TAATGCCAGCTACTCCGGACGCTGGAAAAAAAAAAGGAAGAAAAAGACAAACGATTTAAAGGAAAAAATTTAAGTAAACAAAAGTACAAATGCCATGTCAATCGTTAAGGTGGTGCCAGGGGACCGAGGATCGGGAAACACCAAGGTCTCACAGTCCCTGCAGGGCATCTTGGGGGGAGGCGACAGACAGGTCGCGAGCGCGGGGCTTGGAGGGCACCAAGGTCCAGGGGGATAGCGGGGTCAGCCCCCTCCCTCCGACCCGTGCTGAGGGCTTTGGAGGACCCCCACTCTCCCAACCTCGGAAGCCCGGGTTCTGCCACTTCCAGCCATGCGTCCTCGGACTGCGAAACTTTCTCCAGCCTAGTTTCCTCTTTTGGGACATGGGGAGGCGGAGGCTGCCAATGCTGGGATGGAGTGCTCGAGAGCAAGGGACTAGGGCCTCGACGAGCTTACAGTCCGGTTAGGCTCTCCCACCGCTGTGCTGTGGCTGCTCGCCGCCCTGGACCCGGCGCCGTCCGGCCCGGCTGGTGGAGCCCTCGGTACCGGCCGTAGTCGCGCGGGTTCTAAAATGAGGACAAAGCCCGCCCGGGTCTAGAGCGCGCGCGCCGCCGCGGCCAATGGGACGTTGACGCTAGGTTGAGTGACGGACTGGAGCAGCCAATGAGCGTGCAGTTTGTTGCGAAGTGGTCCCCGGCTCCGGCATTATAAAGGGCGCCACGAGTCGGCATTGTCAGGCGGCGGCACCGCGCGGGAGGGAGCTTGGTTGTGTCGGTGGGTTCCCGTGCGGCGGCGGCCAAGGAGGAGGAGACACAGTTGGAGCAGCTCCGTGGGCTGACTGGGGCGAGGCCTCAGCAGCGCGAGCTTGAGTGCGGCCGAGCCCGCGGCGCCTTCCCCGGCTGGTGGGGACGAGCGGGCCCCGCGGCGTCATCGGCGGCGAGGTGAGCGGCGGCCGGCGGGCGGGAGCTCTGGCGGGAGCCGCGCCGGCCTGACGCGCTGTCGCCGCTGGTTGCAGGAGCCGCCGCGCCTCGGCCTAGCATGTCGGAAGCGGGCGAGGAGCAGCCCATGGAGACGACGGGCGCCACCGAGAACGGACATGAGGCCGCCCCTGAAGGCGAGTCCCCGGCCGGGGCTGGCACGGGCGCCACGGCGGGGGCTGGAGGCGCGACCGCGGCGCCCCCGAGCGGGAATCAGAACGGCGCCGAGGGCGATCAGATCAACGCCAGCAAGAACGAGGAGGACGCGGGGTAGGTGCGGGCGCGGGCGGACGGGGGCGCCGCCTTTGTTCCGGGGCCGCCTTTTGTTGGCGCCACGCGGCGGGGGGAGGGGCGGCGGCCTGGCCCGGGTCGGGGCCGGTGCGGCCCGCGGACTGTCGCCGCTGCGTTCGCGGGCGGGCCTGGCGCTGCCACTCGCGCTGGAGTTTGCAGGAGTTTGTTGGGTCAACTTTGGCGCCGCCCCGGGGCCGTTTGTGCGCTGCCGGGGCCGGGGCCGGGGCCGGAGCCGGCGCAGGGGCGGGCGGATGGCCCGGAAGAGGGAAAGCGCTCGGACCCGGGGCCTGGCGGCGTCTCGGGCCGCGCCGGGGCTGCGTGGGCGGAGTTGGCGCGAGCCGGGGCCCAGGCCTCCCTCCTCCGCCTTTCCCGGGGGCGGAGTCACGGTCTGAACCCTGGGCGGGCTTGGCCCCCGGAAGCATCGAGTTCCTTGAAAAGAGTTCTCAGGAGGTGGTGAAGACGCTGGCCCTTTGATACATGGTTGTAGATAACAAATGAATTTCCAGTTGTGAGTAGTTAGGGCCCATGTCCCTGGTGAGGTGGTCCTTTCTTTGCTTCTCCCAGCCTGGGGCTGCAGAGCCTTGTTAAGCTTCATTAGGGTCCTGGTTGAATTGAATTTGGAGGGTAGTGGAGATTTAACATCCTTCTAAGGTGCACCTTGCAGACTCTAAGGGTAGCTGTAGACTTTGTGAGAGCTTTGCCAGGGCCAGTCCTTTCCAAAATCACAGCTTGCTTTTAAGACTTGTTGCCATGTGTCTCACCCTGCCATTTCAGAAAAATGTTCGTTGGTGGCCTGAGCTGGGATACTAGCAAAAAAGATTTAAAAGACTATTTTACTAAATTTGGAGAGGTCGTTGACTGTACAATAAAAATGGATCCCAACACTGGACGGTCAAGAGGGTTTGGGTTTATCCTGTTCAAAGATGCAGCCAGTGTGGAGAAGGTAAGCTGGGTGCTGGATTTCAGCAGTCTCAGTGGAAACGATTTGAATTCTAAGAGGACACCTTTCTTACAGCATGACTCGTTTGTGTGTTCCGCATGTGGTTGAGTGCTTTGGGCAAAGCCAGAGGTTATGTTCCGGTTTTTGAGGGGATGACAATACAAATTAAGCTGAGAGTGAGAGTATGTGCTGGAGTGGTTTGGGAAGATGATAGTTGACATTCATTACCTTTTATGTGCCTATTCTGGGCACTGTGCTAAACATCTGGGAGGATTACAAGAGAGTCTCCAAGATTGCTATGATAGGCTGTTAGCCCCATTTTACAGGACAAAAACCAAAACCCTGAGGCTCAGACATTTAAGTAGAAGAGGTCACAGCTAGTAGGGAGTGGAGCGAGGATTTCATCCCCTGCAGCCCATCTTCAGCCTATGCTGAGTCCCTGCTGCTTTGCTTCTGGAGATGGGCCTCACGCTGGGACTGCTTGGGCAGAAAGAGCATGATCAAAGGCTTGAGGGTGAGGACTGCTTTTTAGGTGTTGAGGTAAACCAGCTGTACTTGAAGTTTGAAGAAAATTGGGTTGGGAAGTTAAGCTGGGGTAGAATTTGGAGGGGGTGAAACACATTTTTGTATCTGTGCTGGTATCTTCATGGCTTAGAGAGAAGGGCCTTGTCTGGCTCATGCTGCTGAGTCAGCCTGACCCCTTTCTGTTGGAACAGGTCCTAGACCAGAAGGAGCACAGGCTGGATGGCCGTGTCATTGACCCTAAAAAGGCCATGGCTATGAAGAAGGACCCGGTGAAGAAAATCTTCGTTGGGGGTCTGAATCCTGAAGCAACTGAGGAAAAGATCAGGGAGTACTTTGGCGAGTTTGGGGAGGTGAGTGTGGCCCTGGGAGTAGCCCATCAGCTGCCCTAAGGCTGCCTTCTTTCTGGTCCTTGGTATCCTTGCCTGAGTAGACCCTCCCAGGCAGGGCTTATTTTTCACTCTCTGCCTTCAGTGGGGTCTTTTCTCCTGTGAGTCCCCTAAACGCTCTGGGGTAGAGAGGTATTGAGCCTGAGTTTGCCTATGCTTTTTGCAGATTGAGGCCATTGAACTTCCAATGGATCCAAAGTTGAACAAAAGACGAGGTTTTGTGTTTATCACCTTTAAAGAAGAAGAACCTGTGAAGAAGGTTCTGGAGAAAAAGTTCCATACTATCAGTGGAAGCAAGGTAAGGTGTCTCCAACTCTGCTTGGCCTCCTGTGCTGCTGGAGAGCTGGCCCTTACAGGGGTCGGGGTTAGGGGTTGGGCCATGGTGCAGGAGCTCTCCAGGTTGGTTAGACCTTAGTATTTCTCTGAAGCGTATGCTGCCCTGGTTGGGGCAGTGTTCTGATCCTTCAAAGACTTCCCGGGCTGGGAGGACTGCCAGTAAACAAACACAGGATGTGAGGGAGGCAGGAGAAGGTGGCCTCTGAATAGAGCAGGTTGAGTAGCCTCTTTAGTTTGTCATTTAAAGCTAGAGGTGAGAGTGTTCTAGATTTTTGAGTCCAGGGTGTATGAAGCTTGCAGTTAAGGTCTCAGAAGATCCTAGAACTTCTGCAACTCACTGATTTTCCTCTGTGGTGAAGTTTTTCTTGCTCCAGAACCTTTTTACCTCCTTCTACAACCAAATCTTTGTCCACTTCCATCCGTTTTGCCACTTTGAGCTTTTTTTTTTTTCTTTGCTTTGAGACAGGGTCTTGCTTTGTTCCGGCTGGGATGTGGTAACACTATCATGGCTCACTGCAACCTTGACCTGGGCGCAAGGGATCTTCCTATCTCAGTCTCTCAAGTAGCTGGCACCACAGGCATGCACCACCATGCCTGGCTCATTTTTTTTTTTTTTTTTTTTTTTTTTTGAGACGGAGTCTCGCTCAGTCGTCCAGGCTGGAGTGCGGTGGCACGATCTCAGCTCACTGCAAGCTCCACTTCCCGGGTTCATGCCATTCTCCTGCCTCAGCCTCCTGAGTAGCTGGGATTACAGGTGCCTGCTACCATGACCAGCTAACTTTTTTGTATTTTTAGTAGAGACTGGGTTTCACCATGTTAGCCAGGATGGTCTCAATCTCCTGACCTTGTGATCCGTCTCTCGGCCTCCCAAAATGCTGGGATTACAGGTGTGAGGCACCGCGCCTGGTATTGTATTTTTTTTTTTTTTAAAGCCTGGTCTCACCATGTTGTCTGAGCTCACCATCCTCTGCCTCAGGCTTGTAAACTGTTGGGATTACAGGCATGAACTGCCTCACTTGGTCTTCTGGGCACCTCTTTAAGTCAACCCTATACCCAGGCAAAAATCCTTCCAAAGATCTCCCAGGGTTCTGGCCAGCTTAAATCCAGGGTCAGTTGTGCTTTCAAATGAGTGGAATCATGTGCAGAGACGTGTAGCTCTTCCTCTCTCCTGAACTCTGGTCAGGGAAAGGGTAGTCCAGGCTTCAAGTTGGCAGTTGGGAGTTGTGGGTGCGGCCTGCAGTGGCAGGGTGTGGCAGGCTCTGTTTCTGAGCAGGAGTTGGCAGCCAGATAACGTAGGACAGGTGGAGCTCCTGGAAGTCTCTGTCCTGGCTGGGAGTTTGGGAAGATTGGATTAGGATGGTCTTAAATTTTCTATAAAGTGACAGTCTTTGAGGCAGTTAAGGGAGGCATTGGTTATTACTCCATTGGACAGTGATAAAGAGGCCTTTTTCTCTATGTGCCATAATGGGAAATGGGGTTGGGAAGAGCCTCTGAGGCAAAGTTTAAGTGAAACTACTGGTAGTGAGTCTTAGAAGTAAGTATATTTAGTTGGTTGTATTCAGTATTTTTAATTCAGTAGGATAGAATATATCAGATTGCATTATTTTGCCGATTAAAAGTATGACTGTATGGGGACACTGTAAAATGTACTATTTTTAATGGGGGTGCGTGTCAGGATTTTCTTTAGAAATACACTGGTCTGGTCTAACTTATTTAAGCAGGAGCATTGAAAGTACCCCAGCCTACCTCATCCCATCCTCAGTGGACAAAAAGGAAATTGACTGACTTGAGGGGATGCAGACATCTGGGTCATCCCAACAGACCAGTGGTTAGGAGGAGCGGGTGGGTAGCATTATGGCCTCAGGCAGGGCCCCCCATCCTGAGCCTCTGAAAGCCTCTGAAACTTTATCTGTAAGAGGGAGGTCAGGGTCGCCTTCTCAATGGCATGTATTTGAATGAGATGAGTTTCTTCTGTAAAGAGAAAAAGATGTTAAAACCTCATTGTCTAAGGCCCCTCATCTGAGAAGTCTTGTCTGACCCTCTAGCCCAGTAGGACCAAGGTGTGATTCCTGCTCCCAGCCTGTCCTCTGCTCCCCTGGGCTGCAGTTGGCCCAGTTGCCTGCCTCCATTAGACATGGAGTTGCCCTGGGGCTGAGATGCCCATCTCAAGTGCATTCTGTGGGAAGCGTTCTCTGCTGGAAGGCCCGTGGTTTTAGTTGGGATTCCATGAGCTTTATTTAGCTCAAAGGTGACCTCCCACACTAGCATATTTTGTTTTTGAGCAGATGGACCTGATCTGATGTTTGTTGCAGTGAAGATCTTTGTGCAGTCACTGCCCTGAGTTTGTCCTACTGGCCTGACCACTGTCCTCTTGGCTTTTAGTGTGAGATCAAGGTGGCCCAGCCCAAAGAAGTCTATCAGCAGCAGCAGTATGGCTCTGGGGGCCGTGGAAACCGCAACCGAGGGAACCGAGGCAGCGGAGGTGGCGGTGGAGGTGAGTGGAACCTGGATGAAGATGGGTCCTGTTTCCCTGCCTACATGGAGCCTTCCAAACCTGTCTTGGGGCTCCCTCTGGTGCTGTGCAGCAGGGGTGGGCAGACTGTGTGAGGTGGGGGACGAGCAGGAATAGGAGTGGCTCTGGGTCAGGGCTGTGTGCTTGAGGCTGTTGCTGCCTGCTGCTGCCCCTTGGAATGGCTTGGGTGCCCAGGGCAGAGAGAGCATTTGTGTTATACTCTGGGGGAGGGGACATGATGGGTGTGTTGGCTTTGTGGATGTCCTGAGTCTGGTACACCTGTGAGCAGGTAGGCAGAAGGGTGGGTAGGGCAGAGCTGTGCCAGGCATTTATCCCCTTCCATCCCAGGCCCCTCTGACTCCAAAGCCTGAACTGCATCTTTTTAAAGGCCAAGCTGCCAAGGAGAGTGGGAGTGATCAGAGAGTGACTGAGTGAGTGAGCTGCCTTGTTTGCCCCAAGTAAAGCTAGCGTCCTGGTCTCTGGTCCTCTGCTTGGGTCTCTCAGATGCAGGGTTGGGCCCAGGGCCCTGTACACCAGAACAGCAGCCCCTTGGCTTCTGCCTGAGTTGCCATAGTAACCCTGCCACCCAAAGGGCAGGATTTCCTCCATCCTAGCTCCTGCGTATGCTAAATGGTCCACGGGCCCCTGTGCCCTGCTCCCCCCACAGGTCAGAGTCAGAGTTGGAATCAGGGCTACGGCAACTACTGGAACCAGGGCTACGGCTACCAGCAGGGCTACGGGCCTGGCTATGGCGGCTACGACTACTCGCCCTATGGCTATTACGGCTACGGCCCCGGCTACGACTACAGTAAGTAGGAGAGAGGGAGGCCCCATCTGCTCACCCACCCCCAGGGGAGGCAGGACAGACAGTGCAGGAGCCACTGGCAGCAGGGGCTTTGGAGTCAGACAGGCCTGGCTCAGCCATGAGAGCTACTCAGTTTTGAGCCTTAGACTTCCGGGTCTTAGTAACATGAGGAAGGCAATCTCTGCTGTCACAGGGCTGGTGAGGATCCTGCGAAGATGCATATCAAGCGTGTGGCACAGGGCAAATGCTTGTAAATAGTAGCTGCTATGGTTGTTCTTATCCCTAGGTCAGGGTAGTACAAACTACGGCAAGAGCCAGCGACGTGGTGGCCATCAGAATAACTACAAGCCATACTGAGGCGGCAGCAGGAGCGACCAACTGACCGCACACATGCTTTGTTTGGATATGGAGTGAACACAATTATGTACCAAATTTAACTTGGCAAACTTTCTATGGCCTGTCCCATGTGCATCTTATTTAAAATTTCCCCCATGGAAATCACTCTCCTGTTTACTATTTCCAGAGCTCTAGTTGTTTAGGCAGCGTGTGGTGTCTGAGGCCAGAGCGCCATTATGGGCTGATTTTTATTACCAGGTCCCCCAGAACCAGGTGGGAGGCTCTGCTTCCTGCTGCCGCTCTGCAGCCTGGACCTGTGGACCCTGGTTGTAAAGAGTAAATTGTATCTTAGGAAACCAGTGTCACCTTTTTTTCACCTTTTAATTTTATATTATTTGTGTCATACATTTCCTGTAATGGAAGTGTTAATTTTACTGTACTTTTTGGTACCTTTTGGGAATCTAATGTATTGTAAGGTATTTTACACGTGTCCTGATTTTGCCACAACCTGGATATTGAAGCTATCCAAGCTTTTGAAATAAAATTTAAAAACCCCCAAGCCTGGGTGAGTGTGGGATATGCTGTGTGAGACCTCTTGCTCAGGGTGTGGGGTGCCAGGTGCCCTGGACTTTGGGCTTCCTCCTGCAGCACGCCCAGTTGTGGGGGTGTCCTTTAAGGACTGCCCTGCTTAGGACTGAGCCCTCTTTAAAGAAAGGAATAAGAGGTCTATGGGGAGTGAGGATGGGGCAGTGAGGGCTCACATCCCCAGCAGGCATGACCCCTCCTGGGACACCTTAGAACACCAACCTTCTTGGCTGATGAATGAAAATCGATTCTTTACACACTAGGGCAGTGCCAGGGCCAGCTGAATTGGGGCACAGTAGTGCCCCTCCTGGCTGGTGAAGAAAAGCCTGCTCTGGCAGGGGATGTTTACTGGCTGGATTGGAGCCCAACTCCAGGTCTGGCATTGGGGCATACGACTAGGTGGTTACAAGAGGCAAGGGTGGGTTGGGGTTCCACATGGATACAGCCCCATAGGTTTCAAGGGAGGACATAGCTGTTCTGCCGTCAAGTGCAAGCTAAGCATTGGAGATTTTCCAGTGTTGAAGAAACTAACCTTTGGGGGAAGGAGCATCAACCAGAACAAAAAGTCTTAAGAAAAAAAAAAGGCTCAGTTTTCCGAGGCTGCTTGCTGATGGTAAGGAACCCGCTTTGCATCTCCCAAGAGCAAGAAGCAAGGCCCACTCACCTGGAGTACACTTAGGCAGAGCAGGGCTAGCTTAGAGCTGGAGCCTCAGCGTCTCGCAACTTCGCACCTTCTCTTCCATGTCTGAAAAAGACCACAAAGCCACGCCGACTCAGTCACCTTTCTCTGCTGAAGATGCCCTGTGACTTCAGTGTCCAAACTGGAGGACAGTTTAGAGATTGGGCCCTCTGGCTATCCATACCCATGTCCCATTCCCCAAAGGAGTGGCAGCAGTTTCCTGAAAAGCACGAAGCCAGCCCTCAGTTCCTCTGAGATTTCTAGTCTCTGTCCGGGATCCGTAAGCCTGTTCTGTGCCAGCCTTTCCCCCGCACACACTCCTTTTCATCAGATCTACCGCTTCCGATTTGTGTCTAGCAGGGATGGGCCTCCGCCCCCAGCTCCAGAGCCACGGGACTAGGCATGCCTGTGGGTAGCAGTGATCACCCAGAGGTAGGAGGGCACAGGTTGCTTGGCTGGCAGCTCTGATCTCTACTGTGAGATGCAACTTTGCCTATGTGGGGCGTCACTGAGCTATAAATGGCAACACAGCCATGAGATTTCCTTGTAAGTGGATTTAGTGGGGGACCCTGGGTTGACCATGACCATCCTAGGTGATGGGGAATGTGGAGTAGAATTTCATTTTGCGTCCAGTCTCAGTGGTACAAATCTTTCAGCCACCCAGCAGCCTCATGTGACCTGCCTCGTACAGAATGAAACGACTGCCATCTCTACATTCTAGGCTGGCGGTAATGGGGGTCTCAACTCCCACTGTAGTTCTTATGGCCTGTTTCTCAGGCCCACCACTGATTTGTCCTGCATACATCTGATGCCTGCCGAGGCAGGCTGGGTGGTGGCTCAGCTCCCACCTGCTGACAGCCCAAGAAGCTCTTAGGCACAGGCAGGAATAGGAGTAGATTGGGCATGAAAGACCCTCTCTGTTGCTCCCTGCACTGTCCAGAGGAGATGTGCCTCTGCTCTTGGACTCTTGTCCCCTCCCTGTTCCATGCTAGGAGACTCTAGTTGCTGGCTTCAGGCTGGGTTCTAGAAACATGGCCAAGCTCAGGCTTCAAGCTCACCAGTCAGAATGGCATCCAGCTTTGCCACCACCTGCCGAGCATTGTCCAGGCTGAAGCACATTGGGGGTTTAAACTTCAGGATGTTCCTCCCAGGGCCATCAGTGCTCAGCAAAACGTAGTTCTCCTTCAGCCTGTGAGGACAGGACACCCCTTCACGTGGCCTTCAAGGCCTTCCTCAGCCTGGCCTTGGCCTCATGTCCAGTGCTCCAGCCACACTGCCTTCAGAGCCTTCCATGGGCCAGTTCCTGCCAGGACACTACTGGTCACCCCTACCAAAGTCCTGTGCATCTGGCCCACAGCCGCCCCTGCTTGGGGTGCACTGCACCTGGTCCTGAGCCTGCTGCCCCCCAGAACAGGCGCCTTGCCTCACCTTACCCCTGGAGCCACAGTCCAAGCCAAGAATGAATGGCCACAGGGAAACAGCAGACTGCCACAAGAGTCCCTGCATTCTCTGGTTTTCTGTGTGGTTGACGTGATGTATATTGTTTTCTTATATAGAGAATGTCCAACATTGCAGTTGGTGTAATGGGCCCCACGTGTCCCTCACGAGCTTCAGGAATCTCCCTGGCCTGTCCTCCGGGTTATCTTAAAATTCCAGTTGAAAATTTCCACCTCTTAGGAAGATGGCTTTATCTTAGCATCGTTTGTAGCTAATAATCACTTTTAGTCCACAGTCTAACCTCATCTCTGAGATGAGGGGTCTGCATGGTTGTGTTTATATTCTTTGATCCTTGTTCCCATTCTTTTGTAAACCTTGTTATTTTTATTTCTTGGGGGTTGGGAGTCTACCTTCTGGTTTCATTTTTCTATCCCAGTCTTTCTGGCACTGACCATGGCCATGCCAGAAAGGACAGGGCTTGGACTTTGGAGTTAGACGGCCCTGGGGCCAGATCGAGCTCTTGCCACCTAGCAGGGTAACTGCAGGTGACTTACCCATTTCCTCACTGAACTGGAAAAGCACCCCCAGGGTACTGTGAGATGAAAGAGTAGGCTGAACTTGGGATCTGTTTCCTTCCATGCCACCCGACCATTCCGAATCCCTGAGACTCCTGGGAGCGGGGTGGGGGTAAGCTGGGGATGTGACTGACAGCAGAGAGAAGGCAGGGACTAGGAAAGGCCAAGTTCAAACACAGCACAGAGAGATTTACATCAGTACCATGCATGTCTCACAATTTGAATAAGGACACATCAGATACCAGAAGAGCTTTCCATGGTGGCAGTGGGGGAAGGGGGAGGCCTGGGGAATGGAGATAAAAGGGAATAATCATTAAACTAGAAGAAGAAGTCCTGAGGCCTCAAGGTCCAAGTGAAAGGACAAGCAAACCAGGGCAGTGGGACTGGTGGAGTCTGAGTTCTGAGACACCCCCCAACCCAGCTTAGGAGCAGGAGTCCTGTCCATCCCAGCCACCTGTCGTGCGGCATGGCAACCCTGACTCTGGTGCTGCCACAGCTCCCTGGTGTGAATGAAGGTGCTTCCCTTCTCCAGGCCAAGGTGGCATTAGGGGTTCCTAGGTCTGAGTGCCCTGCTAGCTTGGGCATTCTAGGCAGAGGTGCTGCTCTGGTCTGGGAACAGCCTGTGTCTCATCTGCAGCCTTTGCAGTCAGGCACTGGTTACAGAACTGCTAACCACTTATCTCTGTCCTCAGCTGATAGCATCAGTTGTCCCCCCGCCCACCACCCCCGGCCCCAGCCCTCTTTCAGTCAAGTCTGTGGCCCAGAGTGCTGGGGGTACAGATGAGCCTCCTTTGCACTAAAGGCCTCTGGCCCTGCAAAGAGGCACCTGTGGTGTCTCCTATTCCAGGAAGCAACTTGTTTCAAGAAGAAAATACCTTGATACCAAGTAGGCAGCCTCTTCAGTTGCTGGTGTCCTTGTGGCCTCATCTTTGATCAGATCCACACCAATGAAGAGCCCAACACCCCTGCAGGGGAAGGTGATGACATCACAGGAGGCCATGCCTGAGGGGCCAGGGTGCTCGCCTCACCCCGTCTGGGCTCCTACCTGTGCCTCTTGGGGAGGCTGAGCACAGGAGGCACCTTCAGAAGGTGGTGAGAATAGTTTCAGGGAATAACTGCGCTGGGAGGGATCTTTGGTGTGGACAGAGGAGAGAGGCTTGGGGATAGCTAGGGGTCAGGTCATATCCTGGCTTTCTCCTCCCCAGGAGTGCCGTTTTGGGCAATAGCACCTCTCAGTGTCTCAGTCCTCTTGAGAGCGGACATAACCCCACCATCCCAGGTTGTTAGGAGGTGAAGAAAATGGTACCACACTGGGCCCTGGCAGGTCGGTGGTGACTGCTGCCCCCAGAGCCTCACCTGACATCCCCGACGATGGGATGTTTGATTTTTTGCTGCCTGAGGAGCTCCATCAGGAAGCTGCCCACACTGGTGGCATGAGCCTGGAGCTGCTCCTTCTCCAAGACATTCAGGACGGCCAGCCCCACAGCGCAGGACACTGGGCTGCCCCCAAACTGAGTCAGGGACAAAGAACATGTCAGATGCCCCAGCAGAGTGGGCCATGCCCCAGAGTGAGGGTGAGGCAGAACTGCCACACGGGTTCCAAGACCAGTGGCAAGAGCACAGGCCCCAAACCCCTTAGGGTGCACAGTCCTCAGCAGTAATAAATGGGGTTCAACGGGGGCCCCCATGGGCTGTCCTGGCTTTCCAGGAGCTAATGTGACTGCAACCCAGGTCAGGTACCCCTGAAGTACAGTAGGAGCCCCTAGAAGATACAGAATTAGAAGAGAGGGTGTCCTGTTTGTTCCCACAGAGCTAGTCTTTACCAAGAGAGGCTTTAAGGCCCCATCTCCTGGGCCCAGACCCACAGCACTGGACTAGGCACTTCCTCCTTCAAGGAGGGTCAGCGCAGCACACCAAGGCCCACCCAGGGAAAGCCACCTAACACACACCTGGAGGTCTTTGGCGCCTTTTCCTTGCCCACCCTGTCCTTATTCTGCAGGTATCTGAGTGGAGACCTGTTTTTAGAGGATCACCGGCAAGGTGTCTCCTGCAGACCATGTTTTTTGTTTTGTTTTTAAACTACGTCTTTAAAAACATCAGCTTTGTTGAGGTATAATTTCCATATAAACTGTGTTTAAAGTATAAAGTTCAATGTGAGGTGACAAATGTATGTACCTGTGTAACCTCCCTCGCAGTGAAGTCACAGAACATTTTCATCACTTCCTTGTGCACCCATCCCACTGCTGCTGGCCCCAGGCAACCACTGATCTGCTGTCTGTCACTATGAGACGGCTACAGGGGGCTTTGAAAGGCTGTGACATATTCCTGGGAATCTAGAAGGCCATTCATATGCACAGGGATGTGCTCATGCTGAGTGCTGTGTGCGTGCTCAGGAAAGATCTAGAAAGCCCTAAGCTCTCACCACTGGCTACCTTGAGGCTCTGCAGAATGAGGAAGTAAAGTCTAAGGCAGTTACAAGCTCTTGGCTGAGTTCCAGGTCATTAAGGCGATCTCATGGTTAGAGGACCATATCAAGCAGAGACTACAGTGGCCACACATGACAGAAAACACACTTTACAGAATTGGTTCAGAAAAGGCACTACAACACCAGAAAAAACCACCATGGGGAGGGAGGAGAATATGATCTCCACAGTTGCCATATTATATTACTTAAAATGTCCAGCTTTTAACACAATTCTGAAACATGTAAAGAGGCATGGCCCAGACATGGGAGGAAAAAAGCAATCAATGCAAACTGTCCCTGAGGAAGCTGACACTAACCTTATTGGACAAAGACTTTAATCAGATGTTACAAGTATGTTAGCTGGGTGCAGTGGCTCATGCCTGTAATCCCGGCACTCTGGGAGGCCAAGGTGGGTGGGTTGCCTAAGCTGAGGAGTTCGAGACCAGCCTGGCCTGGGCAGCACAGTGAAACTCCATCTCTACAAAAAATAAAAACAGCCAGGCGTGGTGGCACATGCGTGTACTCCCAGCTGCTTGGGGGGTGAGGTAGGAGGATCGCTTGAGCTCGAGGTTGAAGCTGCAGTGAGCCAAGACTCCAGCCTGGGTGACAGAGCGAGCCCGTCTCCAAACGAGCAAACAGAAACAACCCCAAAACCAAGTATGTTAAGAGAACTAAAGGAAACTACACCTAAAAGATTGAAAGCAAAGCATGAAAATGATGTCTTACCAGAGTCTAATGATAAAGAGATAAATTATTAAAAATCAAACAGAAACTCTGAAGTTGATAAGCACAATAAATGAACTGAAGCATTTTCTAGAGAGGCTCAACAGATTTCTTTTTCTTTTTTTGAGACAGTCTAGCTGTCACCCAGGATGGAGAGCAGTGGTGTGATCTCGGCTCACTGCAACTGCTGCCTCCCAGGTTCAGGCGATTCTTGTGCTTCAGCCTCCCAGGTAGCTGGGACTATAGGTGCGTGCCACTACATCTGGCTAATTTTTGTATTTTTAGTAGAGACGGAGTTTCACCATGTTGGCCAGGCTGGTCTTAAACCCCTGACCTCAAGTGATCCACCCACCTTAGCCTCCCAAAGTGCTAGGAAATTACAGGCGTGAGCCACTGCGCCTGGCAACAGCAGATTTAAGCTGGCAGATGAAAGAATCCGTGAAAAAAAAAATATGTCAATTGAGATTGTACAGTCTGAAGACCAGAAAGGAAAAGGAATAAAAACAGTCATATAGACCCGAGGACACAAGCACACCCACATACTGAGTGTCCCAGAGAGGAAAGGGGCAGAGCAAATACGACAACTTTAAAAACCCTATATAACTTGCAATGAATTGAATGTGTCTCCCCCAATTCATATGTTGAAATCCTAACCTCCAATGTGATGGTATTAAGAGGTGGGGCCTTTAGGTTATTAGGTCACAAGAATAGAGCCTTCATGAATGGGATTATGGTTTTATAAAAGGGATCCCAGAGAGCTCTCACCCTTTTGACGGTATGAGGGTATAGCGAGAAGTTGGCTGTTTGCAACCTGGAAGAGGACTCTCACCAGAACCCAGCCATGCTGGCACCCTGATCTTAGATTTGCAGCCTTCAGAACAGTGAGAAATCAATCTGTTTATAAACCACCCAGTCTACGGTATTTTGTTATAGCATCTTGAACTCACTGAAACATAACTTTTAAAGAAATTAAAGCAGCAGTTAAATATCTTCCCACAAAACACAAGGCCCAGATGATGGCTTTATAGGTGAGTTTTTACCTTCAAAGGACAGATCACCCCAATTTTATGTAAAAGAAAAAGAAGAAATATTTCCCAATTCATTCTACAAGGTTAGTAGGACCCAGTTACCAAAACCCAAGATACAAGAAAAAAATGTGAGCCAATATTTTACTCCTGAAAATAGAGGCCAAATTCATAAACAAAATATAAGTAAACAGAATGCAATAATATAGAAAAATGATAATATTCCATACCCAAGTTCGATTTGTCCCAGGTCTGCAAAGATATTAGAAAAGCTGTAAATATAATTCACCATGATAACAAAAGAGAAGAAATACTGCTTTAATACATGCATAAAAAGAACAGGATAAAATTCAATTCCTTTTTATAGTAAAATCTCATAGTAACTTAAGTAGTAGGAGATTTTCTTAACCTGATTGAGAACATATAGTAAAAATCTGATCTAGGCCAGCTGCGATGGCTCACACCTGTATAATCCCAGCACTTTGGGAGGCCGAGGCAGGCAGATCACTGGAGGCCAGGAGTTTAAGACCAGCCTGTCCAACATGGCGAAACCCCATCTCTACTAAAAATGCAAAAAATAAGCTGGGCGTGGTGGCACATGCCTGTCATCCCAGCTACTCAGGAATTGGTGGCATGAGAATTGCTTGAACCCGGGAGGCGGAGGCTGCAGTGAGCCGAGATCATGCCACTGCACTCCAGCCTGAGTGACAAGAGTGAGACTCCATCTCAAGAAGAAAAAAAAAAAAGTATATATATAGTAAAAATCTAGAACAAACATCATCCTGAATGGACAAATAAGCATTCCCATGAACTGGACAAGTACAAGACAAGCATTGTCACTGCTCGTATTCAACTATCTTCTAGAAGTCTCTCACCCAGTGTAGTATGACAGCTACCATTATTTGGAGATGATATAATCGTTTATATAGACAAAACAACCAAAAAAAGTCTGCCTATAAATTATTAGAAATACTAGAGTTTAGCACGGGGATAGATATAAGAAAGTATTTTATACATCAGCTGCAAACAATAGATATATAAAGACATCACCATTTCATGATAAAACTATCAAATATCTAGGACTAAATCTAATGATGTGTAAGATCTTTATAGGGAAAATTATAAAACATAAATATACCATATTCATGGATAGGAAGAGGAATATTGTAAAGAAATCAATTCTCCTTGGCCTGGTGCTGTGGCTTATGCCTGTAATTCCAGTACACTGGAAGGCCGAGGTGGGTGGATCACAAGGTCAGGAGATAGAGACCATCCTGGCTAAGACAGTGAAACCCCATGTCTACTAAAAGTATGAAAAACGAGCCAGGTGTGGTGGCGGATGCCTGTAATCCCAGCTACTCAGGAGGCTGAGGCAGGAGAATCGCTTGAACCCGGAGGCAGAGGTTGCAGTGAGCCGAGATCGTGCCACCACACTCCAGCCTGGGCGACAGAGCGAGACTCCGTCTCAAAAAAAAAAAAAAAAAAAAAAAAAATCTCAAACTGATCTAAAGATCAAGCAATTCCCCTATCAGAATCCCAGCAGAGTTTTTCATAAAATGTTTAAAGGTAACTCTTAAAATTTAAATGAAAGAGAAAAGAGACCGGAATAGTCACAGGCGAAAGGGGACTTTTTCTAAAAGATACCAGAAGCTATTATGAATGTGTAAAACCTATTATGAAGCTCTAGTAATAATGTGGCACATGAACAGTAATCTGACCAAAACTGACCAAAAAAGTATAAAAGCTCTGAAACAGATCTTCTCACGTGTGAACTTTGGTTACATAACAGAGGAGGAATGTAAGATGAATGGAGAACAAAGGGAGCAGAAAAAGATTTCTGAAAACAGGAAAACACTGGCATCACATGCACAAAGGATGTAATTGGATTCCTGATTAACATCGTGTACAAAAATCAACTGCAGATGGATTAAGGACCTGTATGTCAAAACAAAATGCTAAAAGACTTAAGAGGAAACATAAATGAATATATGTTGTAACTTGGAGTAGGGAGAGAGATCTTAAACAATATATGAAAAACACTGTCTATAAAATAAGACAAAATGATAGAGCTGACAATGTTAAAATTTAAAACTTTATCATAAATATGTAAAGGGAGTGAAGATAGGTTATAAACTGGATGAATATATTCACAAATACACAACTGACAAGTGATTAGCATCAAAAATATATAGATATGTATGTGTTGGTATACACACACAGATACACACATATACATACAGACACAAAACTCGCACAAATTAACCACTAGTAAGTCAAATCAAAAAATGGGCAAAAGACACAGGCATTTCAGTGAAGAGGAAACAAATGGTCAATAAACATATGAAGAGATACTTCATGTAATCTGAAATCAAGGAATGGCATATCAAGACCACACAAGCCACTGTTTTACGCTCCACTTGACTGGCAAAAATTAAAAGGCACTGAAGTAGATATAGTCCGGGTGCGGTGGCTCACGCCTGGAATCTCAGCATTTTGGGAGGCCAATGTGGGCTGATCGCTTGAGCTCAGGAGTTTGAGACCAGCCTGGGCAACATGGTGAAACCCCACCTGTACCAAAAATACAAAAAATTAGCTGGGCATGGTGGCGTACACCAGTGGTCCCAGTTACTGGGGAGGCTGAAGTGGGAGGATCACTTGAGCTCCGGAAGTAAAGGCTGCAGTTAGCTGAGATTGCACCACTGCACTCCAGCCTGGGTGACAGAGTGAGACTCTGTCTCAAAAAAAAAAAAAAAAAAAAAAAAAAAAAGATGCTGGGCACAGTGACTCACGCCTGTAATCCCAGCACTTTGGGAGGCTGAGGTGGGCAGATCACCTGAGGTCAGGAGTTCAAGACCAGCCTGACCAACATGGAGAAACCCCATCTCTACCAAAAATACAAAATTAGCCAGGTGTGGTGGTACATGCCTGTAATCCTAGCTACTAGGGAGGCTGAGGCAGAAGAGTTGCTTGAACCCGGGAGGCAGAGGATGTGGTAAGCCAAGATCATGCCATAGCACTCCAGCCTGGGCAACAAGAGCAAAACTCCGTCTCAAAAAAAAAAAAAAAAAAAAAAGATATACACTATATACACTACTGGTGGGGTGTTAACTTGTGAACTACTTTAGAAACAAATGTTATTATTTTTTAAAATTAAGGGTGAACACATACCATATGAGCCAGCAATTCCACCCTCAGGTACAGTCCTAAGAAAAACTCTTGCCACATGTACAACGGAGACTTACGAAAATTGCTCAAAGCAGCACTGTTCATAATTGCAAAAAAAAAAAAAAAAAAAAAAAATGGAACAAGCTCAATAGTAATGGATGACTGAATGTGGTACATTTATACAAAGATTATAAAGCAGTCAAAGCAAATGAACTTCAGTGACAGGCAATAGGAAGGATTCTTAGTGATGTTAGCAGAAAAAAAAAAAATCCTAAGAGAGTATATACAGCATGATACACTTCATATAAAGTCAAAAAACAACTAAATAATATGGGATTGAGAGTGATGGTTACCATGGTTATCTGGAGTGATGGGTAGAGGAGGCAATAAGAGGGAATTGGGGGAAACATCTGGAGAGATGCAGGATATTATCAAGGTCCTAGCTTTTATTAGGGATGCTGGCTTCCCAGGTGCTTAGAACATTAATAAAGGTTAACTGAATAACTAAAAGAGGGCTATGCACAGACAGATGTTGAGAGTCTTCTACGAACCAAGGATTCTATCTAATGATGTACACTTGAGGGTCAAGTAAAACAAAGAAAGAAAAGTCGGGATGCTGCTCCACTGGGCCTTTGTTGTTCCCCTTACACAATCCACTTGATTTCCTGCTCAGCCTTCCAGACTCAGATCTGGTCTTGCCTTCTGTATGAAGCCTCCACTGCTTGTCCCATAGCTCTTCACCCACCTCTTGCCTGGGATGTCCTTTGTGCTGTCACAGCACCGTGAACACACTACTTCCACTGTCATCCTCCACACTGTCATGACCATTTGTCTGTGAGCCTGTCTTTCGCCGACTGAGCTTCTGAGGCTCTGTGTCACATGGACACAGAGTGATGGTTTTTGCCTGAATGCACCAAAGTGTCACTTCCCTCACCCCTAAGGACCTTATCCTGCCTTATCTATCTTGCCAAATCCTGACATGTTTCAGTCCCCAATTGAAACTGGCTCTTTTTGAGGAACTTAGTGAATTCTCAACCCTCTGTCCCTGCCCTTCCTCCTCTGGGCCTCCTCCTCTCCTCCCTGGACCAGTCTCCCTTCCTCCAGTTCTTTCTCCACACTGAGCACCAGAGATCTTTCCAAAGGGTACTCTCTCCAGGATTAAAACCCTCCTGTTGTCCTCAGTCTTCAAGATCAGTGCAGACTCCTTGGTTCTTTCCTGTGGGTCTGCTGCTGCCTGCCATGGTCCTCTCACCTACTCTGTAACTGCTGCCTCAGGGCCACTGAATATGCTGTGTGTCAGCTTCACTCAGGGGAAGCTCTTGACTCTGTACCCCAAAGACAGGGAGCCACTGCAGTGTGAACTCTGCTCCTAGATCATGTGTTACCCAAGTAGACCACACTCCTCACGCCTCTTAACCAGCTCAAGTTCCAGCACCTGACACAGGGCCTGGCACAGAATGGGTGGCATCTGTTGGAAGGAAGACAGGGACTCGTAGTTTTATATATATTTTATAAGACAAGGTCCCTTGTGACAGCTTTTGGATTGACATTAATTTTAAAAGATGTTTTATGTTTTCTTACCTGACCTGGCGATAATCTCCTTAAGGGTAGCGTCTTGGAAGTGTGTGCTGGGCACAGTGCTAGCCCTGTAGCCTTTGCTGACTAAGGACAGGCTGATCACTGGGGGCCTATCAGAACCCATGTTGCTCCCTTGACTTACAGCCGTCACTCACCGTGTTGAAGTACTCAACGCCGGTGGCTTCATATGCCCTCGCCACAGGTTGGGTTGTGGCCACACAGGCAACAGGGTGGCCATTGCCAATGGACTTGCCCATGGTGACGATGTCAGGGACAAAGTCTTTTCCCTGGAGCTGGAAGGCCCAGAAGTGCTTGCCTACTCGGCCAAAGCCAACCTGGATCTCATCTGCAACAAAGACCCCTCCGGCCTTGTGGATGTGCCTGTGGCAGAGGACAGATGACTGACATGGGGGCTGTGGTTGGGAGGGATAAGATCAGGAGTCAGGAGGTCTCGGGGCTTTGCATCCTGGCTCTGCTAGCTGTAAGGTGGGGGCCTTGGGCAATGGCTGGCCTTCTTTGGGCCATTATTTCTTTAAGGGCTTTGTCTCAAAATTCTGGCAGTCAGGCCAGGCTGAGGTTGGGATTTGGACCGGAGGTTGGAAAACCTCATAGAGCCCTGCCCTCCCTAGGGCAGACCCTGCCCACCTACTCACTCTGCCACTTGGGAGAAGTAGCCAGCAGGGGGAATGATCTGCCCTCCCACACTGGGCAGAGACTCGGCGAAGAAGGCTGCAATCTGTGAAGAGATGGACATTGGGAACACGACCATGGACGTGTGCAATGACCGGCTTAGCCTGCCCTGCTAGTGCTGGCTTAGTCCGAGCAAGACAAATCACCATCATTGCTGCACTCCTACTTTGGGCTCCACGTTACATCTGAAGGTTTGTGACTCAGTTTTCTCTCAGGCCTCCGGCCAACTCTTACCACCTGGATGCCTCCAGGCCCCTAGTACTTGGCATGCTCCAAACTAAATGCACTGATTTTTCCCCCATAAGCCTGTTCCTTCCCTGTCCCCCATTCTTGATCCACGCCCCCTCCCTCAACCCATCAGTCAGCACGCCCAAGGATTCTACCTCAGCCCCCTCGCTAAACCTACTCCTTGCTCTCTGCCTGGACATGCCTGCCTCCTTCAGATCTGCCCGTTTCTTCCTTGGACTCCTGCAGAGGCCTTCTAACTGAATGACTCTTCCAGTCCATCCTCCACATGGCCACCAGGGTGATGATGCCTCAACCCAGAGAGCCGAGCATGTCACTGTTGTTTAAAACCCCTCAGTGACCCCTTCTGCATATGGCAATGATTTCCCAACTGTATTCTGCCTTACAGGTGGGAGGGCAGGGCAATGGGATGGGACACTGGTCCCCCACACCTGTTGCAATCAGAGCAATCTCCTTTTTTAGGTTTTATAGAAGTGGTCGCGGAGCACCTGAAACGCATAGGCAAGGCTTCCCTGGTCGGGTTCTGCTAACCTTTCCGGCCCCACAGGCTGCCTTTCTTTGTCGTACCTCCTGTGTCTGGCTCTGTCGTTCCTTCAGTGAAGCCTTCAGAGAGCCCTCACCTGTCGCCAACAGTCTTCCCTCTGTTATCACCGTGGGTAACACACCTCTCTCTCGGATGTCTGCGCCTCCACTCCATCTCCACTCTACTGCCCCTGTCAGGCCTCCCCACAGCTCACTTGGGGTCTACTGGCCACTTCGTGGTCACCTGACCTCAAGCTCCCCCATTCAGATCTATCCCCCACATACCCCTGGAGTCGGAGAGCAGCACCAGCCCCAGAGCTTAGCGCTCTCCCGCTTAAGACTCTGGTGGTTCCCGGGGGCCTCCAGGGCAGAACTGCAGCTGCTCAGCCTAGTTCTGGTGCCCTCTGGCATGTGGACCCTGCCTGCCTCTCCAGGCTCAGCTCCTGGCCACACATTCACACGGTTCCTCAGCCACCCGTCGGGATGCCCTTCCTCTGCTACTCCCCACCCCACCTGGAGTGGCTGACCCCTACTGTGTCAGGGAGCACCTCCTCCAAGGACCCCCCTTGACATCCCCCAAGGCCTGCTCAGGCTCTGGCTGCCTATCATGCCCATGCTAGTGCACTCAGACTCTCTGCTGAGCCCGAACTGCCCCTACCCCAGATTCCTGGAGGGCAGGGCCTCGTTTGGTTTTCTCTCTGGGTTCCCAGCATCTAGCACAGTGGTGGTGACAACAATGGAGGTGCCATTAACTGTTCGCTGGATTGGACAGGCGCGGACATGGTTACCTTCCTGCCCTTCTCCTGTGCACTGCTGACCACACGTTGCACCTCGTTGGCATAGGCCACAGCTGGGTTGGGGTGGTCCTCCCGGTAGGGGCCCCGGTAGGTGTCTGGGAGAGGTGCCTGTGGGGAGTGACAGCGCCACGTTATCCGGGCTTGGGGACAGGCACCGACCTGTTGTTGAGTTGGGCAGTGCATACCACGTGGACCCACTCCTTCTGGCCATCCAGGCTGCGGAACTTGTAGGGACTGATGTCAATCAGGGAGCTCAGGTGGCCGTGATACGCACTGGGGAGGAGAAGGGAGGGTAGGCTCGGGTCTGGGCAGCTCCTACTCCCTGGCCCAGTCTGACCATGGTCTCCCCACCCTTGAAGACACACAGGGGAGGCCAACTTTCCTGACAGAGCCCCCAGGTTCTTGGGAACTTGGGAAAGAGCACAGCCTTTGGAGTCAGCAACACTTCTTGCAAGACTGCTGACTGGCTATGTGACAGCAGCTCATCATTTAACCTCTCGGGGTTGTTTTCTCTGCTGTGAAATGGGGTGGGAGTTCCTCTTTCTGATTTATAATGAATCTTAAATGTGTTGATACTGTCAGCCTCAACTTTGTGCACATCACACACTCAATTCATGGGAGCTACTGCTGTGGCAGTTTGAACATGCAAAATGTTGTGGGACCACCTTTGACTCCCTTACAAAGCGCACTCTGCTCCCCAGAGCTGCCTTCCCAGAATGGTGGCCCAGGGTGACAGAGCCTCCGGGAGGTCTCAGGCCTGGTCCTCTGCCTGCCACGCTTGTCTTCAGTAGCCCAGGCCCCTTATCCTCCCTGCCTAAGGCACCCGGAGTGAGTCGCACAGATCCCCAAGCAGCCTGTGGGCCAGGCTTCTGGAAATGGTAGGGCTGTGAGTTGCACTTACTGGTCTAATACCACCACGTCCTGGTGTCCCGTGTAGTGGCGAGCCAGCCTCAGGGCCAGGTCATTGGCTTCTGACCTATGACCGAAAAGGTGGGCATGACTGAGACAGTGGTCCAAGAGCTTCCCAGAGAGAAATGCTGAGGGCAAAAGGACCCTTCCAGCAGCAAGAAGATTCTCAGGACATCAACTAGTCAGTCACTTGCTTATTTGTTTGGTATACATCAAATGCCTCGTATGTACTAGAAGCTGGGGGGAAAAAGAGTAGGTAAAACAGGCCAGGGGCGGTGGCTCATGCCTATAATCCCAGCACTTTGGGAGGCCGAGGCGGGTGGATCACGAGGTCAGGAGATCGAGACCATCCTGGCTAACATGGTAAAACCCCGTCTCTGCTAAAAATACAAAAAACTAATGGGGCATGGTGGCGGGCGCCTGTAGTCCCAGCTACTCAGGAGGCTGAGACAGGAGAATGGCATGAACCTGGGAGGCGGAGCTTGCAGTGAGCTGAGATCATGCCACTGCACTCCAGCCTGGGAGATAGTGAGACTCTGCCTCAAAAAAAAAAAAAAAAAAAAAAAAGGTAAAACAGACACGGCCTTGGCTGGAATTTACATTCTCGTATGTGTCATGAAACTTGTTTGGAAAAAACTCAAACCATTGTTTTTCCTCTGCTTTCACACTACAACAATCAACACAGAAGACTTCTGTGACTCCAAAAAATATGTAAGGATTTCTCCCTGCCAGCAGGCAAGCAATCAGATTGCAGCAACACCAGCTGGGTGTCCTCCAACTCAATTCCAACACTATCTACGTGGAGGCGGCATCAGATCCCACAGTATGAGGGCTCAGTGCCCAAGACTGCCCCCTGGGCACCAGTAGCAAGTCGGCCTCTGGAACTAATTTTCTTTTTTTGTAGAGATGGGGTCTCACTATATTGCCCAGACTGGGGGCTCAAGCATTCCTCCCACCTCAACCTCAAAGTACTGGAATTATAGGCATGAGCCACCGTGGTGGCCACCTTTGGAACTTTTTTTTTTGAGACAGAGTCTCACTCTGTTGCCCGGGCTAGAGTGCAGCGGCTGATTTTGGCTCACTGCAGCCTCTGCCTCCCAGGCTCATGGGATTCTCCTGCCTCAGCCTCCTGAGTAGCTGGGATTACAGGCGCCGACCACTACGCCCAGCTGATTTTTTGTATTTTTAGTAGAGATGGGGTTTCACCATGTTGGCTAGGCTGGTCTCACACTCCTAATTCTCCTGCCTCGGCTTCCCAAAGTGCTGGGATTACGGGCTGGAGCCACCGCACCCGGCCCCCCTTTGGAACTTCTGACTGACTGGCTTCAAGTTGAGGTTCCCACAATTCCCTCTGTAGGTTCAATTAATTTGCTGCAGTGGCTCACAAAACTAAGGGAAATACATTTACTGGTTTGTTATAAAGGGTATTATAAAAGATACAGATGAAGAGATGCATAGGGGGAGATATGAAGGAAGGGCATGGAGCTTCCCGTGCCCGCCCTGGGCACACCACCCTTCAGGAACCTGTGTGTGTTCAGCTATCTGGAAGCTCTCTGAATCCAGTCCCCTTAGTTTTTATGGAAGCTTCATGACAGCAGCATTCCTTCTCCCAGGACATGGGGTAGGACCCTCTCTGGAATGAGAGTTTTATGACCCACCATCAGAAAGGTGGGGAAGATTAGAGTCCCGCCTTGGGCAGGTGAAAGGAAGGCAGGAGAAGGTTAGAGTGATTGTCTCCTGAGGCCTGACATCCAATGTTGTAACAAAAGAGTGTAACAAAGGCTGTGGGAGTTATGAGCCAGGAACTGTGAATAAAAATGAATGTGTATGTATATATGTCTGTGTATTTATATATATATGTGTGTACACATATATATACCACCACAAAAGCCAAAAAAGAAAAAGTGATCCTTTTTCTAAGTGCTATGATGGATGCTCTGGGAGAGAGCCAGAGGGAGCATGTTTATGGGCTGAGCTGCTACCCCCCACCCCCAATTTATGTGTTGAACCTCTAATCCCCAGTAGCTCAGAATGGCCCGTATGTGAATGGATATGGAGATAAGAGAGGTGATTCCGTTAAAATGAGGCTGTCGGGGGCCCCTAATCCAATCTAACCAGTGTTCTTATAAGAGGAAATCTGGACAAAGAGACACCAGGGACACTTACACACAGAAGACCAACCAGGGCCATCGCCAAGCCAAGGAAAGAGGCCTTAGAAGAAACCAACCCTGCCAACACCTTGATCTTAGACTTCCAGCCTCCAGGACTGTGAGAAAATAAATGTCTCTTGTTTAAGCCACTTAGTCTCTGTTATTTTCTTATGGCAGCCAGAGTAGACCAACATAGAGGGTCAGTGGAAGCATCTATGGGGAGGTAACTCGTGTACTGAGTTACCTGAGGGAGAAGTTTCCAGACAGATGGAGCAGCACGCACCAAGGCCTTGTGAAGGAAAAGAGCTCAGTATGCTCAGGGAACCAGGGGAAGATGAAGGAGGCCAGTGCCTAAGGAGGGCAGGGTAGGAGAGGAAGTGGGGAGACATGGAGGGGCCAGGTGCACAGGGCTGGGAAGGAGCCTGAGTTTTCTTCTCAGTGCCATGTGAAGCCACTGGAGAGTTTTAATGAGATAAGGAACATGAGTCAGCTCCCATTTTCAGAGGTGGCCTCTGGCTGTGTCTAATGGAGTCGACAAGAATAAAAGTAGAAGTGAGAAGACCAAGGAGGAGGATGCCAGGTGAGAGCAGGTGGGGCCATGGAGATGGAGGGGTGGAGGGAGTTAAGAGGCATCATGGAGGTGGAGAGGTGGAGGAGTTAAAGGCATCATGGAGATGGAGGGTGGAGGAGAGGAGTTAAGAGAGCATCATGGAGATGGAGAAGGTGGAGGAGGTTAGAGGCATCCTTGGAAGGTGGAAGGTGGGGAAGGAGTTCAAAAAAAAGAGGCACATCATTGTGGGAGTGGAGGGTGGAGGAGTTAAGAGGCATCATGGAGATGGAAGGTGGAGGGATTAGAAGGCATCTAGAGGTGGAGGGTGGAGAGGGGAGTTAGAGGCACTTGCAGCAGAGATGGAGGAGGGTGGAGGAGTTAAAGGCATCAGCGGAGGTGGAGGAGGGTGAGGGAGTTAAAAGGCATCTTCTGGAGATGGAGGGGGTGGAGGAGTTGAGAGCATCATGGAAGTGGAGGAGGCAGGGTTGATGTAGGACTGAGGAGGCACGTGGTTTTCTGCCTTGAGCAGATAGGTATTGATGTCGCCTGAAACAGAGAATGAGCAGGGAGGTGAGGTGGGGACTTGATCTTCTTGGGCAGATTAGGGAGAAGAGTACGGTCAATCAATTTTGCTTGCCTTGTGGAACCTGAAGCTGGAGATGTTTGTCAGATGTCACAGGCGCAGTTTAGAACCTCAAAGATGGAACATATGCGAAATGTCTGGGCTCAAAAACATTTGCGAGTCACCAGCACATGGATGCTATTTAATAAGAGAGGAGATGGAGGGGTGGAGGGAGTTAAGAGGCATCATGGAGGTGGAGGAGGCAGGGTTGATGTAGGACTGAGGAGCACGTGGTTTCTGCCTTGAGCAGATATAGGTGGTGATGTCCTTTACAAGGCAAGATGAGCAGGGGTGAGTGGGGACAGTCTTCTTGGGCAGGTTAGGGAGAAGAGTACCACGGTCCAATCAACCCTTTCTTGCCTTGTGGACACATGAAGCTGGAGATGTTTGTCAGATGTCACAGGCGCAGTTAGAACCTCAAGATGGAACATATGCGAAATGTCTGGGCTCAAAAACATTTGCGAGTCACCAGCACATGGATGCTATTTAATACCAAGAGAATGGAAGAGATCACCTGAGGAGAGGGCTCAGAGAAAAGTGGCCCAAGACCAGCCCCAAGGAACAGAGGAGGAATCAGCAAAGACAGGGAAGGAGTGGCTAGAGAAACTGGCAGAAAACAGGAGAGCACAGCGCCCTGGAAGCAAGAGGAGACAGCACTTCTGGAGAGTGGTAACTGTCCATTACTGCTGGGACAGAGTAAGACAAGGCAGCGAAGAGACTGCTTTGGATTTGGCAACATGGAAGTCACTGGAATCCACACAAAATAAAGCTGGTGGCGTAAGAATGCCCCTCCTCCACCACCACCAAGGAAGCACCAGCTCCCTGCTGTTTCCAGAGGCTCCAGCTCTTGACATGGGAAATGTCTGGGCTCAAGTTCCTTTCTTTGAATTGCTATTACCCCATCTGCAAAATGAAGATGGTGAATTCCACTTCCTAGAAATTATCTGGGGGGCAGAGATGACTGTACTATGTGAATGGCAACAATAATCATTACTGTAATTCAACGCCACCACCTACGATTCGTTGAAATGTTCTCTCCCAGATACGCCGTAATCACCTGCCTGTTTGTCTCCACTGCCGATCCTAGTGTGAGCTACCAAAACCTTTCACCTGGCCACTGAACTGGCACCTAACAGTGTCCACTCTTGCACTCTGTTCCCTGTAAGACATCATTTCCTGATTAAAGCCTCCGATGGCTTCCCAATGCTCTTAGGATAAAGACAAGTCATTTGGCGGAGAAGGCCCTAGGTGATGGGCCCTGCTTCCCTCCCAACAGCTCACAGCCTCTGCTTTCCCTTAGTGGACTTTTTTCGGTTCCTCAAGTGTGCTGGGTACCACACCCTTTCCTGCTTCAGGGCCTCTGCATGGGCAGTTGTGTCTGGTGACCGACTTTGACAAGAGTTTTGCCGAGACTAATTTTTTTTTTTTTTTTTGAGCTAGGGCCTCACTCTGTCTCCCAGGCTGGAGTGCAGTGGCACAATTTTGGCTCACTGCAAGCTCCGCCTCCCAGATTTAAGCGATTCTCCTGCCTCAGCCTCCTGAGTAGCTGGATTACAGGCACCCATCACCACGCCCAGCTAATTTCTGTGTATTTTTAGTAGAGATGGGGTTTCACTACATTGGCCAGGCTGATCTCAAACTCCTGACCTCAGGTGATCTGCCCACCTCGATCTCACGAAGTGCTGGGATTACAGGCATGAGCCATCGCGCCCAGCCTTGATGAGATTTCTGATGCAGTGGCAGTACCCTTCCTTCCTCCTCTTCTAGTTATCTCCCAGTCAGCTGTTAGCTTAACATCCCTTCCTCAGGGAAGGTTTCCCTGTACCCCCAGAATAGGTCAGGTCCCCTCACTATTTCTAGGCCTCATGATACCCTGTATACTTCCTCCAGAGCCCTCCTTGGAATTCTGTATTTCTTTGAAGAATCACTTGATGTTTTTGTTCCTTACTGAGCAACCCACAGGCAGGGATTTTGACTGTATCCATTAGGCAGAAATAAAGAAATGTATTACCTCACTAAGCCCCAGCAATGATCCTAGAAAGGAAGTAATAACATCCTTCAGTAAGAGACAAGGAAACTGGATCCAACAGAAAAAGCATCAGGGCCTAGAGCCGGAAATCTCAGGAGCCTGGTGCAATGGGGGCTGCCTCTCCCTGAGTCCACACTCGGTCGGCTACACTACACCGGGCCCATGTGAGCAACTCTCTTTGTTACCATCTCACCCTCTTCCCGGGGGCTGGCCACAGTCACTTACCCGGAATTCAGGAAATAGAACACACAGAGCGGCTCTGGCAGGGTCTCCGACAGCCTCTGCGCATAGTCCACAATGTTGTCGTGCAGGTACCGGCTGTTGGTGTTGAGCACCTGGTTCTGTTCATGTGCTGCTCGGACCACGAGAGGGTGGCAGTGCCCGACTGGAAGAAGGCCACCTCCATCACACAGCTGGCTCTGCTCAGCCAGTCCCACTGGGCCTCCCCCAGCCCCAAGCTATAAACCCAGCCAGAAATGACAAAGTTCTAGAGAGAGAGGTAGAAAGAGGGGAGTCTGAAGGCAGAGCAGGGAGAGAGAAGCTAGTTCTGGAAAGGCAGATCCAGGAGTTCCTGAGATTCTGGCAGAAGGAAATGTTCTTCAGCAGAAGAACCCTGTCTAGAAAGCTCATGTCTTTTTTTTTTTTTTTTTTTTTTTTTGAGAGTCTCGCTCTGTCGCCCAGGCTGGAGTGCAGTGGCGCGATCTTGGCTCACTGCAAGCTCCGCCTCCTGGGTTCACGCCATTCTCCTGCCTCAGCCTCCCGAGTAGCTGGGACTACAGGCGCCCACCACACCCGGCTAATTTTTTGTATTTTTAGTAGAGATGGGGTTTCACTGTGTTAGCCAGGATGGTCTCGATCTCCTGACCTCGAGGTCAGCAAGCCCGCCTTGGCCTCCCAAAGTGCTGGGATGACAGGCGTGAGCCATTGCGCCTGGCCTAGAAAGCCCACGTCTTTAAGGAGGCCTTTTTTTTTTTTGAGATAGGACCTTGCGCTGTCACCCAGGCTGGAGTGTAGAGGTGTGATCATGGCATTCACTGCAGCCTCAAACTCCTGGGCTCAAGTGATCCTCCCACCTCAACCTCCTGAGTAGGTGGGACTATGACACCAGTCACCATGCCTAGCTAATTTTTAAGTTTTTTTTGTAGAGACAAGGTCTCATTATGTTGCCCAGGCTGTAAGGCCTTTTGAGGCTTGCGTGACAAAGGTGAGGTAGGGAGTGACTGTCAACTTTTTCACTTCACCAGCCAAGGGGGCTGGTGGTAATCTTGACTGCCAAAGGCCAAGGATAGTAACAGTGAGTATGTACTGAGAGCTCACCATGTGCCAGGCACATTCAGAGCAAGCTACATAAATTGAACATTGAATTCTCCTAATACCTTCAAGTGGGTACCTAGTATCATCATGTCTTTTGCAGATAAGCAAACGGAGGCACAGGGAATTAAGTAACTTGCCTGAGATCACAAAGTTAGTAAGTAGGGGATTTGAGCCCAAGCAGTCTAAGACTAGAGTCCCTGCTTTTTTTAAAATCTCGACTTTATTAATCTTCCATGTCCCTGCTGAGTCTCAGACTCCCTTTCTTTCCATCAGCTCTGGCAGCCCCATCAGGATGACTGAATTCCTGCCTCAGCTCCCTTGCCCAGCACCTGAGATGGCCAGTGGGGCTGAAGTGCCGCCTTGACCCCAGCACTTGGCCAGCACTGTGCTACGCCGCTGGTCACAGCTGGGCCATCTGCCACTCTGTGAGCTCATCAGTAGTCCCAAGTGGAACTAGACCCACAGACCTAGATTGCTGACTCCTGCCTGGTTTAGCACAGCTCCAGACTGCAGAATTCCACAGCTATATTGCAAAAGCTGAGCCTCCTCTGCATATTCATAGTGCCTCAACGTAACCCAGGTTCTCCACACCTCTCGGTAATCTCAGGCAATCTCAGGTCATCTTGGGACCAGGCTCACAGCCTTGGCCTCCTCTCCTGCCCTGCCAACCTGAGGTATGATACTGACCGTGAGCCACATTGTTGATGCAGTCGATGTATTCTGCCCCCTGTTCATCGTACATGTACTGCCCTTGGGCCCGGACAATCTTAACAGGATCCTCGGGAAAAAAGAGTCTGCAGGAAGAGCTGTGGGGACAGGCAAAGAGTGGACAGCCATGTCTGAAGACCGAAAGGGTGAAGTCCACTCATCACAGGCCCCCGCCCAGCCCTTCCCAGTTTCTGGGGGAAAAAACGAAAGCTTGAAGGGCAAGGTGCTGCTTCCCTGCCTTGTCTCCTCACTCCACAGGTGGCTGCAAAGGAGGAAGCAGATGGGGTACCAAGTTGCGGAAACTTAGAATTGTTTCTTAAAGCATTGTAAGTCTCTGGGGCCTGCTGGCTCATTGCTGCGTGTGGTCACGTCAGTCTCCTGGATCCTGAGAAAAGGTGGCTGCCCCGGCCCACGGGGCTCCGGGCTGCGTGTCCTCCTTGGGATGGGGCAGGGCACCAACATTAGGTGGCTGGCTCTCAGCCCTAAACGCTCCTTGCCAGCCACGTGGTCCTGCTGCCCCTCGCTGGGTGCCAGCCCTAAGCTCCAGTGGGAGGCTACCTCACCCACCTTCCCACCGAGGGCCCCTCACAGGTCAAGTATGCTGCCTGTGAACCGACTCCCCCGACTCTCCCTTCGTCTGCGCTTCCAGCCCCCTCCCAGGTCACTCAGGAGACAGGCCCGCGTGCGGCTGACGGGCCACCCTGGGTGAGGTCCTCCTAGGTGCCAGGGTGAAGGTCTTTTCCGGGGTAAAGGCTGCCAAGCGAGGCTGCCACAGACTGGACAGCGGTGACGGCGGGGCCGTCTCCTGAACGGGGCGGCCTGGAGACGGCGCTGTCGCGGAGGAGCCCCCGGAGACCACCCACCGGGACGGCCCAGCGCCGCCGCCTTCCCGGCCCTGCGAATCTCCACTGTGGCCGGGACCGCGGTCGCACGGGCTGGAGAGCAGCGGCCTCCTGGTCGGAGGCGCGTGCGTCGTGCGTGCGTGCGTCGTGCGTGCGCGTGCCCCCCCCCCGCGCAGCCCCGCGCCACCCGCCGCACGCCCGGGTACCTGATGAGCCGCTGCCTCAGGGCCAGGGTGTCGGCCTTCGAGCGCCGGTCTGCGGCCATGGCGGGTGGCTGTCAGTGGCTGTCGAGACGCCGCGCGGAGATGTCGCCGCGCGGGCTGGTCCTCCAAGGTCCCGCCCCGGGCCCCGCCCCTGCCTGGGTCGGGATTTGGGGCTCGGGTTCGCGCTCGGGCCCGCCCCCAAGCGCCCGTGTAGCGGTGGTTGATTTCTTCGCTTGCCCACTGAGCCTGGCAGCCTTCTGGCCCGTGGTCGTGCCTTGGCAGTCCCGCGCAGGAACTCGAGCGCTGCCCCGTCTCTGGTTCCGGGACGGGCCGCAGGCCTTGTCCTGCAGGCTCCCGCGGCTTCCCTTCCGGGAAAGGGTCCCGGACGACCCCGCCCCTGCTCCTGGGGCCTAGGCGGGGCTCGGAGCTACCGCACGCCTCCTTGGGCCGGACTCAGTCTTTGAGTCAGCTTGTGCATAAAATGGGATCAGCTGTGAGGCCTAAGTGCGAGTGTGTGACTGGTAGCTCACCCGGGGCCGGGTACACAGTAGGGGCCTCAGGGTGGGAGAAGCAGGTCCTAGGTTTTCCCAGCCCCGTGAGGGGGCAGCAGGAAGGGCAGAAGGAGAGCCCGGGGTCCCTTCTGGGGCTGACCGAGGAGATCACTGTGGGCTTGACCTTCAGGGCACCATGGTTCCTTCTAGAATCCAGGCAGGGTGAACTGGACGAGCTATATCAACGCTAAGAGAATCATGCGGTGTTTGGGCAAGAAGAGAGGTTGGGAAGCCTCCTTGTGGTACATGTGCATGACCCTGGAGCCCAGAAAGGGAAAAGGTTTTGTTGGCAGACACGCACCAAGGCTGCAGAGGCTGGACTCCTACTGAGGACTTCTTGACTCCCAGCCCAGCGAGTGAAGAAAAAGCGTCCCAAGGGGCTGGGATGTGAGAGAAGCCCCCTCCTGGGGTGGGGCACTGGAGCTTTCTACCTTGAAGAACCCTGGAACAGCGGCCTGGGCCTGCAGCCGGTGTAGGCTGGGCCAGGGGAGGCTCCTGATTGTCCCTCCTTTTCTGTCCACATCTTCATGATTCCCAGGCCTCTGCTTCACTCCCTCATTGCTGATTTCTTCTTCTCTTCCCAATACGGTTGTAAGATGCTTAAGGAATTTATTGTTTTTAAATTTTATTGAACTCCTGACCTCAGATGATCCGCCTGCCTTGGCCTCCCAAAGTGCTGGGATTACAGGCGTGAGCCACCGCGCTCGGCCACTTAAGGCATTTATTAAAGAACGTTTGGAGTTCCTTTTTTCTTTATTGTGTAAAACATACATAACAAAATTTCCCATTCTAACCATTTTTAAGGATACAGTTCAGTGGCAGCAGTACATTCACATCGTTGTGCGACCATCACCACCGTCCACGCAACAGGACTTTTCATCTTCCCCAACAGAATGGACTTTCTTATTTTTAACTGTAAAGCTGAATTGAATATTTTACATGATTTTTGGAAAACATTCTTCCCAAATTGAGAGCTTAACTGCTTGTGGTCTGTATTTTTTTTTTTTTTTTTTAAACAGGGTCTCACTCTGTTGTTCAGGCTGGAGTGCAGAATTGCAATATCTACCTCCCTGGGCTCATGTGATCCTCCCATCTCAGCCTCCCAAGTACCTGCTACTACAGGTGCACGCCACCATGCCCAGCCTGTACTTCGTTTCTGAGGATCAAGGCCTCACAGACCCTGTGTGTGTGTGAGTGGGAGCGTGGTCACCGTTTTCTTAGTGGACTGGTTCCTCCTCATTAGTAGAGAGACCTATGATGCCTCCATGCCCTGCAGTTCCAGCTTTTAAAGTAGTGTGTGTGTTTGTGTGTGAGTCCTATTGGGGTCCACCTTTCAGCCCTGTCTTGCAGCTCAAACTCCAGCCACAACTGTGGCCCCTTGCAGCTCAGAGAAATCAGGTTGGCTCAGGGGCTTTTCCTGCTTTAAGGCAGAGAGTGAGAAGGCTGTAGCTGGGCCCAGCTAACATCTCACCTGCTCCTGGGTCAAGAGGTAATACAGTTGGAGGTCAGACCAGGCTGAGCCATTTCCTGGGCCAGGAGTATCTTATAGCATGGCACAGGACAGCACCAGGAGGCCTCACCTTCTTCCTGCTCAGAAAAGCCCACTCCTTGACTCTGGCCCCGTGGCAAGCAATCATCTGTCCTTTATCTCATGCCTGGCCTTCTAGGCAATGTTGGAGACCAAGAGGGTAGGGGATGGAAGTGGCTGAGCCAGGATTTGAACCCAGGGCATGGCGTTTCTCAGCAGGGTTGGCACCAGCATTCTTGTTGAGATGATTTGTCATTGCGTAGGCTTGTCCTATGCATTTTAGGTGTTTGCTATCCCTGGCCCTGCCCCCTGAATGCCAGGGTGTCCTGCAATCATTGTGATGACCAAAAGCATCCCATGTATTTCTAGTGGTCTCCTAGGGACCAGGAGGAGAGAGACCTGGGTAAGTCCACTTCAGATTCAGCTATAAAAAGGGATATTATCCTTGTGGTTAGTTTAGCTGTCATGGGACACCGCAGGACTCCGTAAATGTACTTCTCTCTCTTCCAGAAAGGGGTACTTTGAGGGTCTACTGCCTTTCTTGGCAGGAGGCCTGAGGCCCCCCAGCCCTTGAGGCTCAGCTGTGAAGCAGGGTGCTCCTCAGTGTCTCAGCTGGAACCTCGAACAAATCATTGATTCCTCTACCGCCTCTGTGCTCACCCTGGGAGCTTTGAGGACTCAGCAGACTCTAAATGTTTAAGCTTGCAGCTGACAAGTTTACAGGCATTAGGATATAAGGTATGAGACCGCAAGGGGGCAGCAGTGAGCCAAGAATGCCCCATCCTGCCCAAAGGAGCAGGAGACATCCCCTCAGAAGACTGGGGAAGTAGGGGAACACATGGCTTCTACCCCACAAGGATCTACATGCCAACCACCCAGCCTCATGGAGCTGCCTATCAGATTCTATGCTCTGCCAGACAAGCTTCGGGAGGACGAATTAGAGGACAAACCCAAGAGCCTAGGTGCAGTCCCAAGCCTGCCACTATGTCCTGGCTGTGCATCCCTGGCCAGGTGACTACCCTCTCTGAGCCTCAGTTTTCCCCTATGTAAAATGGAAATAGCGACACCTATCACACAAGCCCTGGGCTTCGCAGGGCTGGCGAGGGGATCAAGTGAGGTTCCTGGATGGAGGGAGGAGGGAACTGTGAAGTGTAGCATGCAGATGGTGAGGTTACGCTGGAACTCCAGAGGAGGCATGGACACCCAGTGACCTCCATCCATCATCACAGCCCCACTGTGTTTCTCTTCCTTCTCCTACTACTGGCTTCCCTGTTGACTCAGACAACTGGCTGAGTGATGTGGCCTGCCAATTATTGCCAGTTCCTTAGGGAGACAGAGGAGGAAACTGGATATATCCCTCCCTCCTTAGCCAGTGTGTGGCCGAGCCTCTTCTGCTTAGCAAGGCCATGTCACAGAAGTCTGAGGGGGACCGCCCATACTGTGGCCTGCCCTAGGCCTCAGTCCTTGGAGACTCAGACACCGTCAGTGCAATGCACCAGCACTGTCAGAGACACCATCACTGCAGGCCCTTCTTTTTTTTTTTTTTGAGACGGAGTTTCGCTCTTGTTGCCCAGGCTGGAGGGCAATGGTGCGATCTCAGCTCACCACACCTCTGCCTCCCAGTTTCAAGCGATTCTTCTGCCTCAGCCTCCTGAGTAGCTGAGATTACAGGCATGAGCCACCACGCCCGCCTAATTTCGTGTTTTTAGTAGAGACGGGGTTTTTCCATGTTGGTCAGGCTGGTCTCGAACTCCCGACCTCAGGTGATCCGCCCGCCTCAGCCTCCTGAAGTGTTGGGATTACAGGCGTGAGCCACCACGCCCAGCCCATGGCCCTTCTGGTCTAGGCCACCCTGGGTTTGCTTGGTTTTGTCATCTGTAAGAGGGTCTCTCTCTTAGGGTTGTTATAGGGACCAGCTGTGGTGAGAAGTGGGAACACTTTGCAGGACTGTGCCCCTTGCTCAGCAGCCTTGGAGTCAGGAGAGATGAAAATCAGAACCGAGTGTGCTTCTGGGTGAGGGACACACCCTACATTCTTCGCATACTCTGCACTGGATCCTCACAGAACCACAATCTTGAGTGCTAAGCAGTGCCCTGTCATTTCACAGCTGAGGTGGCACTTTGCATTTTTTTCAGAGGGGGCTGCAACAAGATCTACAATTCCACATTTTCTCCTTGAAATATGATGTTGACACTTTCCCATGGAAAGGTGGGGTCTAATCTCCTCCCTCCAGTCTTTCAGAAAGTAACACCACGTGACTTCTGAGACTTGGCCCTGAAAGGTGACACAGCTTCCAACTGGCTGACCTGGGACAGTCACTTTTGGAATCCAGCCACCACGTGGGAGGCAGCCTGGGTCACGTGGAGAGGCCACAAATAAGTATTTGCCATCTGAGGTCCCTGCTAGAGCCAGCAGCAACCACCATGTGAGAGTTTGGGTAAGAAGCACCCACACTGAGCTCATTAACCGCAGACTGTACAAGAGAAATTGAATTTTTTTTTTTTTTTTTTTTTTTTTAAAGAGAGGAATTTCTCTACGTTGCTCAGGCTGATCTTTAACTTCTGGGCTCAGGCAGTTCTCTCGCTTCAGCCTGCCCAGCAGCTAGGACCACAGGCATGCATTAACCCAGCCTACCAGTGTTAATTCTTTACTTTTGGTAGAGATGGAGTTTCACTGTGCTGCCAGCCCAGTCTCGAACTCCTAGGCTCAAGTGATTCTCCCATCTTGCCCTCCCAAAGTATTGGGATTAAAAGCATGAGCTGCTGTATTTGGCCAAAATGACCATTGTTTTAAGGCAACAAGCTTTGGAGAGATGTTATGCAGCAGTCTAGTAACCGCAATAGAGGAGCACACAGGGGCTCAGTTTGACAGGTAGTGACTTGCTAGAAGACTCAGCTGATGTGTGGCAGGACCAGGCCATGACTCTGTGTCTTCCGAACTCCAAATCCCATCTTTGCCCTGACCCTGAACTTCTTCCTTTGGTTTCTGGGATGGCTCTTACTCAGGGAGAGTCCCCTTTTCCCTCCCCACCCAGCAGTGGCCAGGATGAAACCACAGCCAGAGGTGCCCCAGGGACAGTCTGCAAGGACAGGCACACCCAGACACACACTTGTGGTTTATTACACACAGTGATCTCCATCTACACAGAAATGGAAGGCAAGCAGCCAGGATGGAGCTGGTTGCTGGAAACACTTGCTAGAGGTGGAAAAGCCTCTCGTCAGAGCGCGGGTGGGTCTGGTGGCAGGCCCTTTGCTCAGGACAGCTGTGAACCAGCCTGAGGTTTGCTTTGCCTGCACAGCCCACCTAGAGAGCCATTTTTGGCCAGAGTTCTGGGTGACAGACCTGGGGCCAGTGAGACCCAGACTCTGAGTGGGAGGCCTGCCTCCCTGGGCCAGGCCATGTCCCATCTTGTCTCTCTCTGGGTGATATGGAAACAGACACAGGAAGGAGCAGTCAGTCCAGCCTGGGCCCCTCCATCCCCGACACTCTGCCCCCTGGAGCTGGGTCCACATCACAGCGATCACAGCTCAGCCACTACTTCTGGCCAGAGGACATGTGTTCTCAGGGCAGACTGGCCTTCTGAGGCCGACTGAATACACTAGGAGCTAGACCCTCTTGGGGGATTTTCACTCACTGCTCCCCGGGCCCAGCTGCAAGTGCTGGGCGAGTCTTGTCCAGGGGCCAAGTCTTGTCCAACTGTAGAGGCAGCTGGTTGTGGTTGAGTTTGGAGGCTGGTGAGGCCGGGAGCAGCAGCCGCTGTTCCACCCCTGGGTCTTCTTGGATAGGGGGTGTCCCAGGGACTCCAGAGTGTTTGGGGGCAGGTTCTTACACAGCTCAGAGTTTCTCTGCTGATCAGGTGACTGAAGGCCCAATGTAGCATCTTTCTAGCCTTGCCCGAGCCAGGTGCATCTACCTTCATCTCCTTCCTGGGAAAGCCCAGGCCCGAGGGTGCCCCTCAGGTATACATCTCCCAGGTCTGGCCTGTCCACTTTCCAGCAGCTTCATGTACCAGTGGCTCTGGGGCTGGGTGGGCACACTCTCGAATGTTAAAAGGCCACAGGTAGCGCATTCCATGAAAAAAGATCAATATATTACTGTTTTGTTTTTACAAAAATTAAAAATGTCCACACAGATCTGTACAGGTGTGAGCTGGGCCTGTGGGTCACTGGAAGAGGAGGAAGAGACTGAAGGTGATGAGGAGCCCGAGAGGCCCCGCCCCCATCCAGCCCCCATCCCGGCCACCTTGCTCTGCCATCCCCCATCCTGCTCATTTCCTCGGGAACAGGTGCAGACACCTCCTCTCTTCCCTCCCCCCAACTCCCTCTCCGTGGGCCTATTTGGACAATGTCCCAGGAGGCACTGATGGCTTTGCTCTGCCTGGGCCAGGTGTCAGTTGAGTCCATGTGACCCACAGGGTGGGTGATACACCATCACCCAGGACCACAGTCCCACGCCTCAGCTGCAAGACGGCAGAGTCAAAACCAGGGTCATGATGGGAAACTTGGCTCTTCAGTCACTGTGCGGGAAGCCACAGACACCCAGAGGTTTGAGTGACAGCACCTAGGCTCCAGGGCCCTCCCCATTCCGCCACCCTCCCTGCCTCCCCTGAGCCTGCCCTGGAGACTCTTCCCTGCAAGGTACCTTATGCCAGCAGCCAGGCACAGGCAGCCCGTCGGGGCCCTGGAGAGGAAGACGGTTTCAGTGATGGGGATGGGACCTGGGAGCTCCTCTACACCCCACGTGCCCTCCCTGGTCTGCAGGGAGGTGAGGTCCGGGAGCTGCCACGTGAGGCTGCTGGGCCCCACTGAGGCAGGGCCACAATGCCTGCTCTGTCCACCCAGGTAGTGGGGTCATGGGTACATGACGGCCTCTGAGCTTGTCCTGTGTTCCCTCTGTGCTCTGTGGGGACTGTTGTGCAGTGGGCAGGAACAGGAGGGCACTAGGAAGGGATGGGCATTGTGCCAGGCATGCACAGGCTGCCCTGGATCCTGCCAAGAGCTGTGTGGCTTCCTGCCTGATGTGACAGTGACTCTGGCTCCTCACCCTGGGGCCTGCGAGCTTTCAGGCCTTGGGCAGGAGTGGCTCCTGGAAGGTTTTAAGGATGGCCCAGGAGTTGGCATCCTGCTTCAGCCTGTGCTGGCCCTGCGCAGGGCAGGCTCAGGCTGTTGGGGGTTGGGGCTGGGCGGGGGGTGGGGCTGTCTAGTGGCACCTGTGGTGCCCACTTAGCAGCCAGACATAAGCAGGGTCCGGGTTTCCTCAGGCAGCCTGAAGGGTGGGGAAACTGGAGAGGAATAAAGGCTAACTCATCAGGACACCAAGGCACAAAACATGTCATTCTGTTCCAAAGCACAGGCATGAGCCTCAGACACTGGGCATCCCCTGGAGTATTCCCATGTGTACACCAGGGGACCAGGCTGGGGACCAAAGGGAAGGTGAGGAGGAGGGCAGAATGGAAAGGAAGGCAGAAGCGAGGAAGGCCGGGGCCCTGGCTGCCCCAAAGGCCCACACAGCACACGGCACACGGCACACGGCACACAGCAGGCCAGACCGCCTACCGCAGGGCATGGCCCATTGCCCCTTGCAGGGCCCCGCCAGCCTGGTGCCCCTGTCCGGCCTCCGCAGGTGGGATTCTCCTGTTTCAAAGGAGACAAGGGCTTACTGACTGGGAGGGGAGTCCTGGGCCAGGGGCTGGAGCTGCAGGGCTGGGCCACCCTGCCCCTGCTGTCCCCGCACTTTCCTCTTCAAGTCCTTTTCTCACTGACTTCTCAAAATTGTCTGAGGGGAGGGGTACCCCCCACTGCAGGGATGAGGACACTGAGGAACAGAAGCCAGAGGTCTGGGAGGGGGTCTCTAACTCTGGCACCACTGGAGGTTGAGGCTGGCCTGCACACATCCCCGCGGAAGGCCCCCCTCCCCATTCCCGTAGCTGGAGTGGCCAGGTAGGAGTATCTATCCACTTTTAGTATGAAAACCCAGCTGTTTTGTTTTTCCTGTCTTTTCTGAGCTCCACTGGAAGAGTGTGACATGTAAACCCTCCCTACTTTCTAGAAAAAGGGAACTAGGCAGGGCACAGTGGCTCACACCTATCGTCCCAGCACTCTGGGAGGCCAAGGTGGGACAATCGCTTGAGTCCAGGAGTTCAAGACCAGCCTGGACAACATTGCAAGACCCCAGTTCTACAAAAATTAAAAATTAGCTGGGCATGGTGCTGCATGCCTGTAGTTTTGGCTACTCGGGAAGCTGAGGCAGGAGGATCACTTGAGCGGGGGAGATTGAGGCTGCAGTGAGCCATGATCGCACCACTGCACTCCAGCCTGGGTGACAGAGTGAGACTCTGTCTCCGGAAAGAAATAAAGGGAACTGACTTTTGAATTGTGGTTGTTTCAGGCACTGGACACTGGGGCTGGTGGGCTACCACGGGCCACTGAGAGAGCAGGGAAGGAGGTAAAGGAAGGGTGTGGGGGCAGGCAGAGGGGATGCGGGGAAGAGGGAGGTGCTGCCCCAGCCCAGAGAGACTCTTCTGGGAAGGATGAAGGAAGGGGAGGGACAGCCAGCAAGAGAGCTCAGAGGGGTCCCACCGTCTATGCTTGGGGAAGCTGAGTTTCAGCCCAACTTGGCCTCAAGCCCAGTGCGAGTCAGACCCTGACTCTGACCCCAGGCAGCCAGAGCGGGGGGCTGGGAACTCACTGCCTCCGTCTCCAGCAGCAGTGTGCCTGTGCTGACTTTGGTTCCCTCCTCAGGGCCCAGCCCCCTCCCAGGGCACCGCTGATGGTGCTGACGACTCCAGGTAAAGCCCCTCCACTCCTTGTCTAGACCCTGTCCATCTCCAGCCCAAGATGGCCCACAATGGGCCCCTACTCAAGCCAGGCCTGTGCTGGGGCTGAACAATGAGGGGCTGGGCTTCCGTCTCTAGAGGGGCTGGGTTCCCTGAGCCATGCCCATGGTTGGGGGTGGTTAGGACCAGAGCAAGGGGAAACCTGGTGATGGCAGTAGCAGCAGCAGTGGCCCTGACAGTGAGCAAGGCCGGTGCGTGACCAATGGGGCCTCTGGGACTTGCAGCTGAGCTCTGAGGACAGGGAAGGTGTTGGTCTGACCATGGTTGGAGGCCAAAAAGACCTGGGGGCAGGGACCTCCTCCGACACCTACCACAGGACACGGCTGGTCCAGGCCCGGTGGTCCCGGCTCGCCCTTCTGGCCCTTCACTCCTTTCCGGCCGGGGACCCCTCGCTCTCCCTGTGCAGGAGGGGAGATGGTGGTATTGGCCATCTGCTGCCAGGCTCAGGAACCTCCAATACCTCTCCGAGAGACGCGCCTGGGGTCAGCCTCCCCACCTCCCGCCCACCTGCCCAGCCCGGGTTCTCTCTGCCTGCTTCACCTGAGCCTCCACTCCCACCTGCCTCCTTCCCCCGCTTCCTCCTGCCCCAGTTCCCGTCCAGCTGCCCTCACCTTCTCTCCACGCTCGCTCCGATCACCTTTCTCTCCTCGGGGTCCAGGAAAACCCTGACAAAAGGATTAGAGGCTAAACCCGAAAATGACGCTGGAGGTTTGCACCTCTGTTACCGGCTCATCTCCGTTCCTCTCCCATCCACACGCCCACTACCCCCCTGCATGTTCGTGACACACGCCGGCCCAGCCCCAGCTGTAGTGATACACTGCTAGGTACAAGGCTGAGGTAGGAAGAGCATGCATTTAGGATGTCAGCTGGGCGTGCTCCAAAGTAGTCCCTGGACACCAACACTCAGGCAGAGCTGCTGGCAAGGGGCTTTCTCTCACATCACAGAGGCAGCTGGTGCTGGTCTAGGCTTGGCTGGGGACAGAGACCCTGGAAACCATGGAAGTCATGTCGCTGTCTGATGGGATGAGAAATGGTGACCTCTGTTCTGTGCCCTTGGTTCAACAGCCATCTGTCCATTCATCTATCTGTCCATCCATCTATCTGTCCCTCCACCCAACCAAGGTGGCTAAACATCCACTAGGAACTGGGCTGTTGGCTGGACACTAGGGGCAGAGAATTGGATTCATCGTGGCTGGGTGTGGTGGTTCACACCTGTAATCCCAGCACTTTGAGAGGTCAAGGTAGGCAGATCACCTGAGGCCAGGAGTTTGAGACCCATCCTAGCCAACATGGCAAAACCCCATCTCTACTAAAAAATACAAAAATTAGCTGAGTGTGGTGGTGCATGCCTGTAATCCCAGCTACTTGGGAGACTGAGGCAGGATAATTGCCTGAACCTGAGAGGGGGAGGTTGCAGTGAGCCAAGATCATGCTACTGTACTCTGGCCTGGGCGACTGAGCAGGACTACGTCTCAAAAAACAGAGAGGCCGGGCATGGTGGCTCCCGCCTGTAATCCCAGCACTTTGGGAAGCCGAGGCGGGCAGATTGCCTGAGCTCAGGAGTTCGAGACTAGCCTGGGCAACACAGTGAAATCCCATCTCTACTAAAATACAAAGAATTAGTGGCCTGGCAGCGTGCACCTGTAGTCCCAGCTACTCGGGAGGTTGAGGCAGGAGAATCGCTTGAACCCGGGAGGCAGAAGTTGCAGTGAGCTGAGATCATGCCACTGCACTCCAGCCTGGGTGACAGAGTGAGACTCCATCTCCAAAAAAAAAAAAAAAGAAAAAGTAAAAAAGAAAAAGAAAACAATTTAAAAAAGAGAATTAGATTCGACATGCTCCCTTGTTCATGTGTAACGGCAAGAGAGTGCTGACGACAGTCAACGCTCAGTGATAGAGGTTGAAACAGGGGTGGTGGGACTCTGGGGGGAAGGGCTGTTCTATCACAGGTGGGGGGTCAAAGGGAGTTTCTGAGCACGGTCCTTATTACAGCTGGGCCTGCTGGGGTTGAGGAGGGGCCTGGCATTTGCCAGGTAGAGCAGGGTGGGCATGGCTTTGAGATGCCACCCTGAGCACCAGGCCTCCTAGAAGGCAGCTGTAGTCACATTCATGGTGGTATGGAGTCTCTTTAGCTCCACCCCCAACTGGGCCCAGAGCCTGCAGCTGGTTCAGCATTGTCCTCTCCCCTCCCTTCTTCTCAATGGATCCCAGCCCTCCCAGTCAGAAACACAAACTACAGCTCTTCCTTTCCCTCCTCCAGTTGCTCTCCTAGGTAATGTTCTCTTTTTTTTTTTTTTTTTTTTTTTTTTTGAAAAAGTGTCCCCCTCTCTCCCCGCCTGGAGTGCAGTGGTGCAAACTTGGCTCACTGCAACCTCTGCCTCCTGCGTTCACACCATTCTCCTGTCTCAGCCTCCCGAGTAGCTGGAATTACAGGCACCCGCCACCACGCCTGGCGAATTTTTTGTATTTTTAGTAGAGACAAGGTTTCACCGTGTTAGCCAGGATGGTCTAGATCTCCTGACCTCATGATCCGCCCGCCTCGGCCTCCCAAAGTGCTGGGATGACAGGCATGAGCCACCGTGCCCGGCCGGTAATGTTCTCTTTTTAAAGTCTAGGGTGGACACCAGAGTCCTTGCAGCCCTGCATCTGGTCCCATGTCCCTCAAAATAGCTACCTGATTTTCCTGAGCACAACCTCCCTTCTCACAACCCATTGATTCCGCCCCAGTCCATGGTCTGACTGGTCAGGGCACTGCATTCCTACAGTCAAGTGACAGTTCAGTGTTGACCTAACTGGGACCAGGGAGAGCCCATGAGACTTCCTGCAGAACACTGGAGTGAGTCAAATTTTCTTTCTTCTTAGTTTGGGCCTGGGAGGATGATGGTCTCGAGCTGCTGGCTTTACCTCACCACCACGTAGAACTTGATTTCCACAGGGAAAGCGGACAAGAGAGGGTGAAAGGCTGAGCTGTGTTGACACAGTTGAGCCCTGGATCCATGTGTTGAACCTCCAGATTTTTCAATTATGAGTCATTTTAAGCCAGTTTAAACTATGTTTTCTATGTATGCTACCAGAGAGACTTGATATAATCAGCCTGGGCTAATACTTCCCTTCCTCTTCTTCTCAAATTACTGCTGTAGCTAAAGCCTTATTATCTGTCACCAGGATACTGCAACAGGTTCCTCACTGCTGTCTACACTTCCTTGCTACAATGCATCATTCATCCATCTATCCATCCATCCACTCATCATCTATCATCCCCTCCATCCATCCATCATTCATCTATTATCCATCCATCCATCCATCCATCCATCCATCCATCCGTCCATCCATCCATAATGGATAGACAAATGGATGGATGAGTCCATTCAATCCTCCATCCCTGCATCCATCATTCTTCCATTATCCATCCATGATCCATCCACCCATCCATCCATCATCCATTCATCATCCACCCACCCATCATCCACTCATCCATCATCCATCCATCCATTCACCCATCCATCCATTTATCCATTTATCCATCCATCCGTCCATCCGTCCATCCATCCATCCATCCTGCAGCCATTATGCATTTATGAATCCATCGATTCATCTTCCATTGTCCATCCATCATCCATTTACCAATGTATCCATCCTTTATCCATCCATTCATCTATCCACAAAGGACCTACTCTGGGCTGTGCACTGGACTTGGCAATGGGGACACAGGGGGAACCAGTCAGTTGCAGTCCCAGCCCTGGGGAAGGGGGTCACACTTGAGTAGCCAGATCAGGCTACTGCATGAGGGCAGAGGATACACACAAGAGGCACCCGATTACTCAAAGTGATGATGAGACACTTACATCTAGTCCTGGCTCCCCGGGTCTGCCCTGAGGAGAGACACAGAGTGGGTGAGAGGGGTTGGGGAGGGGGGCTGGGAACGCAGCTGCTGGGAAGTCCAGCCCCATGGGTTGGCCACAGACATGGAGGCAAGGAGACCCACCAACCACGCAGGCATAGATGGAGGCCACAACAGACCTGGCATCCACAGAGCCTGAACTCTGGCCCTGTGAAGTGCAGGGACCCAGTGAGGTATAGGGTTGGGGTCCCCAGGCTGAGCGCCACCGTGACCATGTGGCCATAGTTGGAGAGGGAGTTCTGAATGAAGCGGTTACCTTCTCTCCTTTGGTTCCTGGCAGCCCAATAAGGCCCGGTGGGCCAATTGGCCCCTGGATAGAAAAGGAGTGAGTCAAGAGGCATGCTAGTTACAGGAATTAACACCTGTGGGCCAAACAAGGCTTGTGAGACTCACAGGCAGGCCGCTGGGGCCTCTCTCACCAGACGCGCCTTTCTCTCCCTTTGCTCCATCCAAGCCCTGGAGGCAAAGGAGGGAAATCAGTCAAGGGGAAGGGGTTAGACAGAGAGGAGGACAGGCAAGCTTGGAGACTGCAAGGGAGCTGGGAGGTGGACAGAGGAACAGATCCAGGCTCCACCAGACCTGACCCCAGCTTACTCCCTGGTGAGGGTGACCAGGAGGAGGTCTGGCCATGCACATTGCGCCTTTTCCGGAACAGGCTCCCTCAACCCCATGGAAGGTGATTATGGTCACACCCATTTCAAAGATGAGGAAAGCAGGTGCAGACAGGGGCGGGGACGGGCCCAGCCACACAGTGGGAGGCAGCAGAGCTGGGTCCCCATCAGGCTTCTTCGGCAAGCCTTGGACCCTGTCCCTGATAGCAGCTGCCTCTTTGAAACATGAACTGTGGCGGCCTTAAGAGAAAACAGAACCAGAAGCAGTGCATCTGGTGGGGCTGCAGGCTCAGGCCTGGGGTTCCATGACACTCAATCCCACATCTGGCCTCTAAGCTGGGGAAGCAGAGATGTGCTCGTGCCAGGTGGGCGGTGTGACAAGGAGTGAGGCCAGATGGCCTCCCCGTCTGTGTCTGCCTCCCCGGAGCAGGGCGTGCGGGCAGGCCACACTCGAGGATTTAATGTAAGAGCAGGGAACACTCCGTTATGTAATATACACCAAGCCCAAGACTTTGTGCTCAGGCTGTGGCAGCTGAGAGACAGATGTGTGTGGGGCGGGCTGGGATGGGGAGAGGTGGGGACACTGCAAGGAACTGAGAGGCACAGAGAAAGGAGAAGGGGACAAGCAGTAGGAACAGTGGGTGGTGGACCTGAGGAGGAGAGAGGTACAGACTGGGGTTCTGGGCAGAGGGAGAAAGTGGAGAAGACAGCCCCAAGTGTGGAGGGGGGCACTGGCCCCGATGACATCAGGGAGGTCATGCCCTGGGGAGCTGGGATGTTCAGGTGCTGGGAAGACTCAGGGATGGGCCAGGGCGGAGCGTCAGGCCCTTTGCTTTGCCCATTGGCAAGGCTGTTAGAAACTGCCCGGGCGGTGAGTCTGAGGCCAGCAGAGGGGGCTATGCCCACTCACCTTGGGACCCTGGATTCCCTGGAGGCCCTGCAGGAGGAGGAAGCAGAGGAGAGGACTGGCTCCGGACCCTCTTGCAGTGGCCACTCACTGGCCCCTGGGGCCCTGTCCTGGGCTCTGCCCTCTGCCCATGTGCCCTCCCTGAATGCAGCCCGCTCTCTCCTGGGTCACGGCTCTGGGACCTAGCCCCCATCCCGCCTCTTGGTTTCCTGGCTGCTTCAAACCAAACCAAAGCAAACCGTCCTTACCATTGGGCCTGGGGGGCCAGGGGGGCCAGGGGGGCCAGGGGGCCCTGGCTCCACTATGAGCTGAGCCTAGGGAGGGTGAGAGACAGGTTAGTCACCCCCTGCCTGTCGCCCTCACCCACCCGCACCCCAGCTCATCGCACACTGCTGGATCCAGAGTGTTCTTCCTGCCCCCAGAGGGCAGAGTCTGGTGAGCAGGGGGCAGCTGGCCTGTGGGTTCTCAGAGGGGCCTCGCTCCCCTTACTCTCCCTCCCCTACTGCCCTGGGTTTGCTCAGGCCAGGTGGCCTTTTTGTCCCAAGGCGCAGGGTCCCTACCCAGCCTAGACTGGGTGTTGGGGGAAGCCCTGACCCCCCACAGCCCCTTACCAGGCTCTCCTGTAGGCTGTCAGATGCCGACTCCCCCTTCTCCCCCTTGAGGCCATCAGCGCCCTGCAGGACGGCATGGCCTGTGAGTCCTTTGTGTCCAGCACCTACATCACCACCCACGGTGCTTAGTGACCTCCCTTCCTTCCCCCATGTGGCTTCGGGGAGCAGTCCTCAGTTAGCTGTTGCAACTGAAAAGTTTTGCCTGGATCCATGGGCCATGCCCTGGGTGGTGAGCAGCATGGGCTTCAGAGAGCACAGGAGCAGCTGCACAGATTGTTTTCTTGGGGTGCAGGGACCAACCAGGGGCTCTGAAGCAAAGACCCTGGGGTCAAACCCCAGTGCCCCCTCTAGCCCAGTGATCATCAGGGATGGACAGTGGATGTCCCAGTGGTGGCGTAACACCTGGTGGCTCTTCCAATCAGGCCACAAAAGCAACAACAGAAATGATGAGGACGACAACAGTGGGTATTTGCTGTGTGCCAGCCACCGTCAGCCCAGCCACGCATGCCTTTGAGGGAGGGGGATGATCACCCCACTTTGGAAGTGAGGACACCAAGGCCCCAGGAGGTTAGGTTGCTTGCCTGGAGCTGGATGCAAACTTGGGCAGCTTAGGTCAGAGCACGTGGCATAGCCATCTGGCCAACGTGCTTCCATGGCCACACCTCCTGACTTTAGCTGCCCTCTGAGGCAGGCGGAAGGCCTCCTCTAGATGAGGAGTGGAGGCCGGGAGAGAAGAGGGCAGTGCTGGCCCAGAGCCTAGAGTGTCCCCGGCCGGCTGGGCACTGAGACTGCAGGGGCCGTCAGAGGCACGCCCTGCCTCCCCACAGCACAGGGCTTCCACACAGGAGGCGCAATGTGTGGCCCAGCCCAGTCACATACCGGGAGGCCGGACAAGCCCATCTCGCCTGCTTCCCCTTTGAGTCCAGTTGGCCCAGGCTCTCCTGGGTCTCCTTTCTGTCCTTTGGGACCCTGAAAGCCACAAGAACAAGGGATTAGTGGGGCTCAGGAGGTCCTCTCCCTTTCCCCACCCCAGCAGGTCCCCACTTTCTCTTTGTGGAGCCTCACCTCCAGCCACAGTGGCTGGGAGCCTTAGCTGAGTGCAGTGGGTGGGGATGGGGGCAACGCCATTCCTGGCTCACTGCATCCGGGTGCAGGCACCTCAGGGCAGGGGCCAGGGGCAGACAGGTGAAGCATTGAGCCTGGAGCTGCCCCTCTGGGGGCACTCATGGGGCCACATTGCTCTGTGCTCACACCTCAAAAGCTAGTGGTGGGACTCCCCACCCCCACAAACTCTTCCAGCCACTGAATCCCTCCATTCAACCAATCACATAACGTCCAGGATGAGACACACACTGCGGACCCAGTGGGAAAGACTCACCCTCGAATAGCCAGTGACTCCATGTATGCTTACATCTGTATAGGATATCACACACAGATACACACACACACACACACACACACACACAGATACACACACACACACACAGATATACACACACACACACACACAGATACACACACACACACACACAGATACACACACACACATACACACACACACACAGATACACACACACACACAGATATACACACACACACACAGATACACACACACACACAGATATACACACACACACACACACACACACAGATACACACACACACACACAGATATACACACACACACACACACACGAATTGGGGCAATACCTACGATGGCACTGATGCTCTTAGCTTTTATGGCTTTTCACCTCGTGCCAGGCACTGTGCTGAGTGTTCTCCACACAGAGCTACTCAGCCCTACCCCAGAGCAGGCAACTTGCCCAGGGCCTGAGGGCAGACCAGGGTTTGCACACAGGCAGCCTGGCGCCAGAATCCATGATTTTTGCCTCTCTCACACATGGTCTTGAACTCTGTACACACACACACACACACACACACACACACACAGACACAGCCCAATACTAGGCACTGGCATCACCAAGGAAATGAAAGGCCCAGAGACCTTCTCTCCATCGATTCCTGGGGCACCAGGCAATCCAAGCTCGCCCTGGAAGGAAACAGATGGCAAGAGGGGTTATGCTTTCCTTTCCTAGAGAGGTGTCAGCAGCCAGAGGGCCAAGACACACTGTGTACCCGGCCCAGGGTGGGTCAGCACCCACCACCTCCTCTGTTTCCTTAGTCCATCACGAGCAGATGTAGCCCATGGCTATCACCGGTAAGTTGTGATGTCACAGATTCGGGTGCTGAGGCTTGGAGGGTTAAGTGTCTGGTTTCAGGCCACAGAGCCCAGGAACGACAATGCCAGGACCAGATCTGCCTGACTTCAAAGCTGTTGGCTCTTTCTCTTGAGACAAATGGGCAGGATGCGAACGAATGGTACAGGCCACAGGGTGTGCATAGCTGTCCATCCACCGGACTGGTATGTGGCCACAGGGGCTGGGTTTTCAGTTCTTTATTCTTAGCTAGTGGATACTTATAAAACATTACACCCAATAGCAGCTAAATATATATTTAATTTGTGTGCATATAAAACATTCAAGAAAGAACACTTTGACTCTAAAACAAGTTTTAATACATTAAAAAGATCAATGTTGTATTAAAAAGAATATGTTCTGGCTGGGCATAGTGGTTCACGCCTGTAATCCTAGCACTTTGGGAGGCTGAGGTAGGTGGATCACCTGAGGTCAGGAGTTTGAGACAGCCTGGCCAACATGGTGAAACCCCCCTCTCTACTAAAAATACAAAAATTAGCTGGGCTTGGTGGCACAGGCCTGTAATCCCAGCTACTTAGGAGGCAGAGGCAGGAGAATTGCTTGAATCCGTGAGACAGAGGTTGCAGCGAACTGAGATGGCGCCACTGTACACCAGCCTGGGCAAAAGAGCAAGACTGTCTCAAAAAAAAAAAAAAAAAAAAAAAAAAAAAAAAAAAAAAAAAAAGAACATGTTCTCTAACCGCAAGATAATTTTTTTTTTTGAGACAGAGTCTCGCCATGTCTCCCAGGCTAGAGTGCAGTGGCACAACCTTAGCTCACTACAAGCTCCGCCTGCTGGGTTCAAGCAATTCTCCTGCCTCAGCCTCCCAGGTAGCTGGGATTACAAGTGCGCACAACCACACACAGCTAATTTTTGTACTTTTAGTAGAGACAGGGTTTTACCATATTGGCCAGGCTGGTCTTGAACTCCTGACCTTGTGATCCACCCGCCTCCACCTCCCAAAGTGCTGAGATTACAGGCGTGAGCCACCGTGCCTGGCTGCATGATAATTAAATAAGAAATTAATAAAATATCTGGTCAGCTGGATACATTAAATATGAAAAAAACTAAAACCAAACAAAAAAGCAAGATATCTGGAAAAAAATCTCCCAAGTATTTCTAAATCCCCAAGTATTTCTAAATAATCCACGAATAAATCAAAAGAGAGCTTAGAAATTAGGTTGAATTGAATAAACATAAAATTCAACATATCAAGGTTTGTAGGATACAGCTAAAGCAGTGCTTACGGGAAAATTCATAGCTTTTAGAAAGGTTTTAGATTTGGGGGTACATGGGTAGGGCTGCCACACGGGTGTACTGCATGATGCTGAGGTTTGGGCTGCTAATGATTCTGTCACCCAAGTGGTGAACATAGCACCTGATACGTAGTTTTTCAATCCCTGTCCTCCCACCTCCTCCCTTTTGGAATCTCCAGTATTTATTATTCCCATCTTTGTGTCTGTGTGTACCCAATGTTCAGCTTCCATTTTTTTTTTTTTTTTTTTTTTTGAGATGGACTCTTGCTCTGTCTCCCAGGCTGGAGTACAGTGGCATGATCTGGGCTCACTGCAACCTCTGCCTCCCGGGTTCAAGCAATTCTCCTGCCTCAGCCTCCCATGTAGCTGGGACTACAGGTGCCGGTCACCATCACACATGGCTAATTTTTGTATTTTTAGTAGAGACGGGGTATCACCATGTTGGTCAGGCTGGTCTAGAACTCCCAACCTCAGGTGATCCGCCCGCCTCAGCCTCCCAAAGTGCTGGGATTACAGGCGTGAGCCACCGCGCCTGGCTCAGCTTCCACTTTTTAGGACATGCAGTATTTGGGTTTCTTTTCTCTCCTTTCTCCTTTCCCCTCCCTCCCTCCCTCCCTTCCTTCCTCTTTCCTTCTTTCTTTCAGATGGAGTTTTGCTCTTGTTGCCCAGGCTGGAGTGCAATGGTACAATCTTGGCTCATTGCAAGCTCTACCTCTCAGGTTCAAGCGATTCTCCTGCCTCAGCCTCACAAGTAGCTGGGATTACAGGCACACACCCCCATGCCCGGCTAATTTTTTGTATTTTCAGTAGAGACAGAGTTTCACCGTGTTGGTCAGGCTGGTCTCAAACTCCTGACCTCAGGTGATCCACCTGCCTCGGCCTCCCAAAGTGCTGGGATTCACAGGTGTGAACCACCACACTCAGCCCATTTTCTTTTCTGTATTAATTTACTTAGGATAATGGCCTCCAGCTGCATCCATGTGGCTGCAAATGACAGGATTTCATTCCTTTTTATAGCTGCATGATTTTTCAGTTTAAACGTATGAATGAGGCTTCCCAGGGAAATCTCCCAGATTAGACAGAGACCAGGGAGAAGGCACTCAGCCTGGAAGCCCAGGCCCTTTCTCTGAGCTCCCAGAAGCCAGGCCAGGACACCAGGAGGGAAGTGGAAGAGGATCACAGAGCAGACAGGAAGTGGGAGGTGAGCCCTGGAGACAAATGCTTGGGGGACCACATAGCTCTGTCGGCACTGACCTTGGTTCCAGGGATCCCTGGTGGCCCTGGGGGCCCCTGTGGCCCGGGAGGCCCCTGTGTGTGAAAGTGAAGCCAGTCAGTGTCATTGGTTAGGCAGGGCCTCCCTTCGCTGCCCGCCCAGCTCCCCACCTGGAACAAAGTCCCCGTCCAGCTGAGCTGAGCAGGGGCAGGGTCCTCGGGAACTGCTTCTTCCCGTCAGGTCAGGCCACACTGTGCATGGCTTTATCTGGCTACCCGGGTTTGGGGGAGGCCAGGAGGTGTCTGCTGCCATGTTAACGGCCCTCTGCCCCAGTCCAGATTTCGTCACGATGTTCCCCTGCTCAGGATCTTGCTTTGGCTCCCTATTGCCTCTCGAAGCAAGCTTAAATCCCCTGCTGGCATTCAAGGCCTGCCAAGAATGACATCCCCAACAGTGGCCCAGCACCACCCTCTCTGACTGTCCTATGAGCTCTCTGACCCTCTGGCTCCACTGGCTGCTATCTGCTGGACCTAGGGAGTTCCTCAGTCTCGCAGGTAGGGGTGGGGTCTCCAGTGTGTCCAGGTCCGACGCCACTCTCAAGCTCCTGTCCTGACCCAGACTTTTTGCAGGCCCCCTGCTCGGCCTCCACACTCCCCTCCCCTCCCTTCTGTAAAACTGCACCCTGCCCAGCCCCTGTCCCACAAACTCTAGGTCTCTCCCCTCCCACCTCCTGCCTCCCTATCCTGTGCCCTTCTTGTTGGTGTCCCACTGAGATGCCCCTGGCCTCCATCTTATCCACCCTCCTCTAGGCCCAGGCCCAGGACCTCCCTGCCTGGGGTCCCGCTGCTGCCTGCTCCAACACCCGCTTTCGTTCACTGTCCATACCATTCCTCAGCTAGCCTTCCCCCAATATGTTTTTATTTTTTATTTTATTTTTTTGAGATGGAGTCTCCCTCTGCTGCCCAGGCTGGAGTGCAGAGGTACGATCTCAGCTCACCACAACCTCCGCCTCCCAGGTTCAAGTGAGTCTCCTCACTTGAACAGCCTCCCGTGTAGCTGAGACTATAGGTGCGCACCACCACACCCAGTTAATTTTTGTATTTTTAGTAGAAACGGGGTTTCACTATGTTGGCCAGGTTGGTCTCAAACTCCTCACCTTGTGATCCGCCTGCCTCAGGCTCCCAAAGTGTTGGGATTATGGGCATGAGCCACCCACCTGGCATGTTTTTATTTTTTTAACATCATCCCCCGCATGGACTATGTGGACTATGGCTGCCTGCTGCCCATCAAATTGAGTCAGCATGTCAGTCTGGCATCCAAAGTCCATCTCTGGCCAGGCATGGTGGCTCATACTTATAATCCCAGCACTTTGGGTGGCCGAGGCGGGCGGATCACTTGAGATCAGGAGTTTGAGACCAGCCTGGCCAACATGGTGAAACCCCGCCTCTATTAAAAATACAAAAATTAGCCGGGTGTGGTGGCGCACACCTGTAGTCCCAGCTACTTGGGAGGCTGAGGCAGGAGAATTGCTTGAACCTGGGAGGGAGAGGCTGCAGTGAGCCGGGATCACACCCAGCCTGGGCAACAGGAGTGAAACTCCATCTCAAAAACAAAAACAAAAATAAAAACAAAACAAAGTCCATCTCCCAACTCTCTGTACTCATAGGCTCGGTCAGCCTGGGACACACCATGCATGTGCCTGCCATGCCACGCCACACCATGCCACGCCACACCATGCCACGCCACACCATGCCACGCCACGCCACACAACACCACGCCACGCCACGCCATGCATGCCTGGGGGTGGGTGCCACAGTTACTGCCAACTTGTACTTCCCCAAAACCTGTGGGACATAACTGGAAATGATGCTCAGGTGGGGCCAGGGCCCCCTTCCCGGTCTGGTCTCTGGCGACCACTCCTTCCTCACCCACTTCCCTTCTGGGGTACCTATGAGCTGCTGGCACCCAGTGCCTCTCTCCACTGGTGGTAAGTCCCAAGTTTACCAGCCACTGGGCTCGGGGGTCACACATCTCCCAAGACTCCGGGGGCCGGGCTTGCCACTCTCATCCTCTCCATGACATCATTAGAAGACCTGGCCCTCCACCCAGTGTCCCCTCCACCCAGTGTCCTCTGGGAAGGTCCCAGGAGACACCAGTGGGAACAGACCCCAGGAAATGCTCTGGCTCCTGCCCCTGAGCGAGGAGCTTCCCTTTTTGACTTGGCCTCTAGGGAGCTCGGTCCACATGGGCCACATTCACAGGGGCTCTCTGAGGCGGGTCTTGACATAGCCCTGATTTCCACATCGGACGCCTAGGAACAGTTGGGGTCTTTGTGCCCAGCTGCCTCGAGTCCCTTGTGTAAAAAAGTGCAGCATTAATCACAAAGGAAGTGATTATTCCCTAAGGAAAATCATATTTAAGGCACATCCTGGTCCAGCAGGAACACTACCTTGAGGGCATCCAAGATCCTGCCATCATAGTCGATCACCACTGTGTCTCCCTGCTCGCCCTTGAGGCCTGGGGCACCCTGAGGCAGGAAGAAGAGTAAGAATTTCAGGGAAAAGCTATGCTGGGGGGTGAAGTGGCAGCTGTCCTTGCGTCACACCCAGAGACAAAGCAATGGAAGAGCCTTGTCACCCAGGCCACACGCATGCCCCTCCCCAGTGTGGATCCCAGCATGGGAGGGAAGGGGAGGCGGGCCCTGGGGCCAGCTGAGGGACCTGCTTCCACCTGGTCTGAGGGGCGGCTGGAATTGCCTTCGTGTGGGCGTTCAGGCCTGACCCCTGAGTCCTCAGGGGAAAACGGAAAGCCTGATTTTGATGTGACGCTCTTCAGATTTTTAAATGTTGGCAACACACAGAAAAGCCCCAAACCCTCCAAAACACAAAAACATGAGCAGGCTGGATCGGGCCCCTGTGCCTCCATTTCCCAGCCTCTGGTAGAGGCTGCACACACCGCGCACCCACACGCCTATTCCCGCCTGGTTACAGGTGCACGTAACCGTGCCCATGCCCATGCTGCACACTCAACGTGCACACTCAACGTGCACGCAAGGCTGCTGGCCAGCCCTCCCCTCGTGAGCCTCACTCCCCACCCAGGCTGCTCTTTGCTTGGGGTATGGTGAAGGGTGGGGAGCACTTTGGTTCAGGCCCGAGCCGATCCCTTGTGCAGGCTGGAGACCCTTGCCTGGGCCTTATTTGCCAGCCCTCCCCTGTCCCCAGTCACAGCCTGCCCAGAACAGCCTGGCTCACTGGCTCCTAATCCAACCCTCTCCCGCTCCCCACCACCTGCACAGCCAGGCAGGGGCTCAGATCGTTTTTTTTGGAGGAAGAAGCCAGCCTCCCGGAGCACGAGGAGACAGAGCCGAGGCCAGGATCCTGGACGTCACCCTAAAGGTAAGGTATGTTGATAGGGGCTGGTCACAAAAGATCTGGGGTGGGCTGGGGCACTGTGCTCCTGGTGGCAGGGACAAACCTCCCTGTGGGGTGGGGAAAAGGCAAGGCCCAGCCCACTGCGGCAGGATCAGGCATAGGACAAACGGAGGACCCGTGTCTGAATATATAGAGAAAGGAATTTAGATGGGCATGTGCTCGAGGGGACTGAGAGAGATCTGGCTTCATAATAACGGGTCGGGACTCTTATTCTTATACTTCCATATTTGAACATTTTACCCAAAAAAGGCACGTACTATGAATTTTCAAAAATCACTAATACATTGGTTTAAAAAGTAAAATTCTCCCAGTTCCTGTAGCTCCACTGCTCCTCTGGGGTCTCTGTGGGGACAGGGGCTTCTGAAGCTATGGGGCCCCTAGATCTCATCCCTGAGGCCTTGCCCGAGAGGCGGCAGCTTACCCGGGGCCCTGCAGCTCCGTCCGTGCCTCGGTGGCCAGGCTCCCCCTGTGGAGACACACGGTGCAGGTGTGAAGCCAAACCACGCCTCCCAGTCCCCCCTTCCCAGGAGGGCCCAGGGCCCGAGTGCTGGAGCCTTCGAAGCCGAATGCATGAGAACAGCACTCCAGGAACGGGGCTCCCAGAGGGGCCTGCGAGACCCTCCTCTGACATCACTTTGTATAGAGATGGGGACACTGGTGTCCCGGAGCCGGAGGCTGCATGGTGAGTTGGCCACAGAGCTGGGCACTAGTGGAGGCCTTGCCACTCATCCAGATTCACCACTGCTGCCCCCACACCAGCACCGACAGTGCTGAAGGAGACCCCTGGGCCAGGTCCTCCTGGGACTCCTCACTTAAAAGGGGCAAATGAGAGCTGAGACCACGTCTCCCACTCCCGACTGGGGGAAGGTCTGAGCAGGGCCCACAGGCGCCAGAGCAGCAAGTTCTCACGTCACCTTTGGTCCTGGGGCACCGCCCACGCCACTCTTGCCCTGAGGCCCCTCGCTCCCTGGCTCGCCCTGAAATAGAAACAGTTGCAGTGAAAGCAAGTGTGAGAGGGCATGTCGCGGGTGCCTTGGGGCTGCCCGAAGCCTTGCGATTAGGCCTCCTGGCAAATTGTTACTGAGTCCATGGGGTGTGTGCGCGGATGGACCTCACGGCTCTTGCTAGCCCAGGGGACACAGGACCACGGCTGCCACCTTCTGGTGTGGGCCTTGGCACTTACTTGGGGCAGCTCAGGGGCTCAAGGGGCATTTTGGAGACTGGCTGGCCAGGATTTGGTGGCTGTTGTGAGGGGTTGGGGGAGTCAGGCGTGAGGATGACACCCAGTTCCTGGCTTGGGGACATGGCAGAAAGTGAGGCCCCTGAGATGGAAACAAGAGGGCTTGAGGGAGTCAGGGAGATACACGGACTGGGTGAGACGCTAGGCCTGTTGTGTGGTGGCACCAGGGCCTTCCTCTGCCTCTCTCTGGCCTGCACCAGGCACTGGCCTAGGACCTCGTGGTGCCAAAGGTCCAGGGTAGGGACTTCACCAGGCAGACGAGAACCATGGGAGGTGGGAACCATGGGAGGTGGGGGCAGCGGGCCACGAGGGGAGGGGCAGATACTCACCTTGGGCCCTGGTGGTCCAGGGAGCCCTGGTGGTCCAGGCTGGCTTGGTGTCCCATCGTCGCCCTGAGGAGAGGACACCTGGGGCTTGCCGGTCAGACCCTTGGGTGGCCAGTGGGCCCCTCCCTCCTCTGGGCTTCCGAGTACACCAGTCTGCTCCTGGCACCTCCACTGCCACACAGTACCAGGCAGCTCCTCCCCACCCTCCTTGCCCCTCCAGGGCAGAGGTGGGGTCAGATCCATCTCTCTGTGTCGCCTGACCCCACCAGCCCAGGGCTGGCATTTGCAGAAAGAACGGAGAGGCAGATGAATGAGGGTACATTCATCCATTCATTCCCCCTGTGGGCCAGGCAGCTGAGGTCCCTGCTCAGGTGGAGTCAGGGGAGGCCAAGGGAAAAGAGACGTTCAAATAAATACAAGGTTGGCTGGCACGGTGGCTCACGCCTTAACTCCAGCCTGCTGGCGGGTCAAGGTGGGGAGACTGCTTGAGCCCAGGAGTCTGTGGCTGCAGTACCCCATCATGGCACCTGTGAATAGCCACTGCACTCCAGCCCGGGCAACAGAGCAAGACTCCATCTCTACAAAAACCAGAAAATAAAAAATTAGCCAGGCATGGTGGCACACGCCTGTAGTCCCAACTATCTGAGAGGCTGAGGTGGGACAATTGCCTGAGGCTGCAGGGAGCTGTGATCATGCCATTGCATCACAGCTTGGGTGACAGAGTGAGATCCTATCATATATATATATATACACACACATGCAAATAAATTCCAGGCACCATGTCAGGAAGTGGAGTAGTGTTGAGAAGAGAAGAGGATGGCATGGTGGAGAGGGACTGCAGGGAGAGCTTGTTTCAGCAGGTGGCCAGGGAAGGTCTCCTAGAAGATGGGAGAGGTTTTTTTTTTTTTTTTTTGTTCCGTAAGATGGAGTCTCGCTCTGTCGCCCAGGCTGGAGTATAGTGGCACAATCTCGGCTCACTGCGAGCTCTGCCTCCTGGGTTCATGCCATTCTCCTGTCTCAGCTTCCCGAGTAGCTGGGACTACAGGCACTGGCCACCACGCCCGGCTAGTTCTTTGTATTTTTAGTAGAGATGAGGTTTCACCATGTTAGCCAGGATGGTCTCGATCTCCTGACCTCGTGATCTGCCCAGCTCGGCCTCCCAAAGTGCTGGGATTACAGGCATGAGCCACCGCGCCTGGCCTGGTTTTTTGGTTTTTGAGACAGGGTCTTGCTCTGTTATCCAGGCTGGAGTGCAGTGGCACAATCCATAGCTTACTACAGCCTCGACCTACCAGGCTTAAGCAATCCTCCTACCTCGGCCTTCGAAGTAGCTGGGACAACAGATGCATGCCACTGCACCTGACTAGTTTTTCTGATTTTTAGTAGAGATGAGGTCTTGGTGTATTGTCCAGGGTGATCTTTTTTTGTTTTTTTGAGACGAGTCTCACTCTGTCACCCAGCAGGTTGGAGTGCGGTGGTGCAATCTTGGGTCACTGCAACCTTCGCTTCCCGGGTTCAAGTGATTCTCCAGCCTTAGCCTCCAGAGTAGCTGGGACTACAGCCACCTGTGACCATGCCTGGCTAATTTATTTTTGGATTTTAGTAGAGATGGAGTTTTGCCATGTTGGCCAGGCTGGTCTTGAAGTCCTGATCTCATGTGACCCTTCTGTCTTGGCCCCTTAAAGTGCTGGGATTGCAGGTGTGAGCCAGTGTGCCTGCTGGCCTTGGGGGAGGGTTTTGCTGAGACCTGAATGAGGTGAAGGAGGAGGCTGGCCCAGGAGAAGAGGCTGGAGGGGATAACACTCATTCAGTGGTTTTAAGCTTGAGCTCACATCAGTGGCACCAGGGGCTGGTCAAACCAACTCTGGCCCCATCCCAGAGTCTCTGATTCAGTGGGTCTGGGGTGGGTCCCAGGGCCACACTTTGAGAACTAGTGTGCTTGGCCCTGAAGTGGGCATGAATTTGATGTGTTTGAGGAAGGGAAAGAATGAGTGAATAAATGAATGGATAAAATGAATTCTGGCCTCACGGAGAGCGAGGACAGGGCAGCCACCCGCAGTGAGGGCTCAGGTCTGGGGAAGACAAGGCCACTTTCCCTGTGGGTTGGCTCCCACCCCACCCCATCCCGTCCCCATCCCCATCCCCATTCCATCCCAGCCCCTGCCCTTCTCTCCAGACACTTCCCAACACTGACCCGGACGCTCCTCCATCGGCCCCTCTCACCTTCTTTCCGGGTACTCCAGGCTCACCCTGGGGGAGGCAATGGGGGGTTCAAGAGCAAGGTGAGAGCCGCAGGAGTGAGGCCCGGACCCCAGGCCTCTTGTTCCTCGGGTAGAAGTGGCGCTGATGACCCGTGCCCAGGGCCAGCCCAGACACCCGAGTGCTTCAGAGAGCTGGGGCTGACAGTCTTGGATTCTACTTCGGAGCCACTGACTCCTAAGCTCGACGACCCTGGCAAGGCACCGCTCTTCAAAGCGGGGAGGTGACTCCTGCCGTCTCAGAGGGTTTTGGAGGATGAGGCACTGGCTGAGCAGCTTTCCCATTTTTCCTCCTCAGGCCAGAGGCTCTGTCTCTGTCAGGGAGGACCAGAGCCCTCCTCCCCACTCACATCCTCCCCAAAGAGGGCACAAATGAAAGAGCTGACATCTGCAGAGGGCTGGACACGCTCACACATGGAAAACTATGTCCACATGAAAACCTGCACATGGATGCTGACGCCAGCTTTACTCCAAATTGCTAAAACCTAGAAGCAGCCAACATGTCCTTCAGTAGGTAAGTGGTTAAATAAACTGTGGCTTATCATTAAATAATCAATCATCCCAGACATGGACTATCAGTCAGTGCTAAAAAGGAATGAGCTGTCAAGCCATGAGAAGACCTGGATGAAAGGTCAATGTGTATTACTAAGTAAAACAGGCCAATCAAAAAGGCCACACACGGTCTGATTCCAGCTAGATGACACTCTGGGAAAGGCAAAACTATGGAGACAGTGAAGAGATCAGTGGCCGAGCACGGTGGCTCACACCTGTAATCCCAGCACTTTGGGAGGCTGAGGTGGGTGGATCACCTGAGGTCAGAAGTTCGAGGCCAGCCTGACCAACATGGTGGAACCCCACCTCTGCTGAAAATACAAAATTAGCCAGGCGTGGAGGGGCACGCCTGTAATCCCAGCTACTTGAGAGGCTGAGGCAGGAGAATTGCTTGAAACCAGGAGGCAGAGGTTGCAGTGAGGTGAGATTATGCCATTGCACTCCGGCCTGGGCAACATGAGCGAGACTTCAACTCAAAAAAAAAAAAGATCAGTGGTGTCAGGGGCTAGGGAGAACGAGGGATGAAGAGGCAGAGAACAGAGAGTGTTCAGGGCAGGGTAAATACTCCATGACACCACAGTGGTGGATGCTTGTCAATACACATTTGTCCAAATCCAGAGAGGACCACAGCAAGAGTGAACCCTAATGTGAACTACGGCATCTGGGTGATGGTGATCTGTCCATGCAGGCAAATCATCTCTAACAAGTGGGGGTCCTCATAGCGGGGGAGCGGGGGCATGGGCTGGGGCAGGGGGATATGGAAACTCTGTACTTTCTGTTTAGTTCTGTTGTGAAACAAAAGCTGTTCTAAAAATAAAATCTATCTGGGCCAGGTACGGTGGCTCACACCTGTGATCCCAGCACTTTGGGAGGCCAAGGTGGGCGGATAACCTGAGGTCAGGAGTTCAAGACTAGCCTGGCCAACACGGTGAAACCCCGCCTCTCCTAAAAATATAAAAAATAAGCATGGTGTGGTGGCACACACCTGTAGACCCAGCTACTCAGGAGGCTGAGGCAGGAGAATTGTTTGAACCCAGAAGGTGGAGGTTGCAGTGAGCTGTGATCGTGCCACTGCACTGCAGCCTGGGTGACAGTGAGGCTCTGCCTTAAAATAATAAAAAATAAAAAAGAAGTAAAACCTATTTGAAACCTAAAAGCTAATGTGTTTTATGATTCAACTCTCGCAACTCAGTGTGAAAAAGGCAGGAAAGGTTTATCGTGCCTCCAGTTAATGGAGGAGTAAACTGAGGCCCAGAGAGATGCAGTAACTTGCCCATGGTCTGGGAATTTAGTCTCCTGACCTTACTGTCTTGGCTTTGCTGGGGGTGGGGGGAAGAGAAAGGAGGTGGTGGTGGGCGAGTCCATCCCACCAGATCTGGGGAGGGGCATGGGGAATGAGGAGCACTCACCTTGGGCCCTGGAGGTCCCTTCGGGCCCTGGAACAAGAGAAGAGAAGGTGTTAAATGTCATACTGGAGGCTGATCCTGGGCCTGTCCTCCTTAGCATCCTGGCTTTGTAAAAGGTGACACCAATCCCAGAGAGCAGGAGGCAAGGCTGCCGTCAGAAGCAGGCTGGAGCTGCCCACCCTAGGCCTGACTCCTCAAGCCTGTGACAGCTTCTGCATTAGGGCTCAGGTGGTGGCACGTGGACCACAGCCTCCACACAGGAATGTGGAGCTACTGGAATTCCCTCCAACTGGTGTCTCGCCTGGCCATTTCCCCAGGGTGGGTGGAGGGGCAGGTGCACAGGGGTGCACACACACGCAGACATGTACATGCAGAGGCGTGCACACACACACGGGCATGTGACCCTGCTGTCAGCGTGTGTGGGAAAAGGGCTTCCAGGTCTGGGAACCACAGTCCTGCCAGCCCAGGCCTCTGGAATGCCCTGGATACTGACCATCTCGCCGTCTTGTCCAGGCTCTCCTTTGGGGCCCTGCGGAAGTGTGAGGGGACAGCAGTGAGGGGTGCAGGTCGTCACAATGAACTGAGCCCAAATCTCAGGCCAGACCCTGGGCTGGGGCTCTAAGTACATTGTCTCGTTTCATCCTCGCCAAACCTGAAGAGCGAGTATCACTGTCCCCACTCCACAGAAGAGAACGTTAGGCTGGGGAAGCCACTGGCCTGGCGTGACAAGTAATGGATGAGCCGACTGAGCAGCTGTCCTGGGGGAAACTGGTGGCAGTTTGGTGGGGGATCCATCTGACTGGTGGGGGGACCCTGGTGGCAGTCTGGTGGTGGTGTGGCCTCCACACTGGAGGGAAGGACAGGCTGGGGTTTCTGGTTTAGGGAAGGGGTAGTAGCATGGGGCCTGGCCTCCAGGCTTTGGAGACGTTTGGGAGGAAAGCTGAGGCTGAGGTATTATATTGGGGAGCGCGAGGGGAGGGGCTGATAAAGGTCTGCAGAGACAGTGCCCCCAGAAGGGTCTCAGGCTCAGGGTTGAGTCAGGATTGGGACTGGGATTGCAACTAAGGTCAGCTTAGGGTGTCTGGGTCTATTTGAGGTTAGAGTTGGTTTGGTCAGCGTAAGAGTCTGTAAGGGTCAGAGTTAGGGTCTGAATTGGGGGTGTAGACCAGGATTTGGGAATGAATTTGAGGTCAAGGTCTTGATTGGGATCAGAGACCCAGTTAGTGTTAGATTTAAGGTTCGAATGGGATAAGGGTCTGGGTTGAGGTTAGGGTTGGGTTTGGGTCTGGGGTCAGGGTCAGGATCTGAATTGGGGTTGGATCTTGGTTGGAGTTAAGTTTGGGCCCAGGTTCAGTGTCTGGATTGGGGTTAAGGCTGGCATGGGGTCTGCACTAGAGACGGGGATGGGGCTGGGGCTGGCTTTGGAATCCGGATTTGGGGTTTTGGTCAAGTTCTGGGTGACCAAACTCCAGGTCCTCTTACCGCTGGGCCTTGTGCTCCCCTGGGGCCATCTTTCCCGGTGTCGCCAGGAGGGCCCCGGGCCCCAGGAGGTCCAGGGGGCCCCGGAGGCCCAGCAGCTCCATCTTGTCCTTGGTCTCCCTGAAAGAGATGGGGCTTGGCATGACTCTGAGCGGGATGGGGGTCCAGCCTCCAGAGAGAAACCCTCAGATGGGCAGCCCCACGCCATCCCCTTTCCCAGCCCTTGGGGCAGGCTCAAAGGGGAGGGCTTTGTGACTGGGCCTCTTGCCACTTACTGGGGACCGCACAAAGGAACAGGTCCCCATACTTTGGTGTCAGAGGCCCTACAGGACCTTTTACAGGCCAAGGAATGTGCCAGCTCTTCAGCACCTGAAGCCCAGATCCAGTGTTTAGGAGAGAGATGGCACATGCTGCATGTGGGGGAAACACGCGTGTCCAGCTGCCCTTCCTCTCTCTAGAGTGGGGCCTGAGTATCTCCTGAAGGACCTTCCTGGAGGACCTTTTTTTTTTTTGTCAACTCTCGCTTCATTTGAAGTATGGAGGTGCACTCTGGCATTTATCCTTGTTCACAGCTGCTTGGTTAGTAACAGCCCCAAACTGGAAACCAATCCAAAAGTCCTTCAGTAGGTAGAAGGTTAAGGAGCTGGGGTACGTCCACGTCATGGAACACAACTCAGCAATCAACCCAGAGGAACAGGCCACGACACATGCAACACCTCAGATGCATCTCAGGAGAATTATGCTGAGTGAAACAGTCCATCTCAAAAGCTTAATACTGTGTGGTTGTATCTACGTAACACTCTTGAAATGACAACGTTCTAGAGATGGAGAACCCATACTGGTTGCCAGGCATTAGGGATGGGGGCATGAAGGTGATTGTAACTACAAAAGAACAGCATGAGGGACCTTTGTGTGCTTTACACAAATCTACAAGTGTGTTAAAATTGCACAGAACTAAACACGCAAATGAGTGTGTGTACAGCTGGGGGCATCTGAATAAGGTTGGTGGATTGTGTCAATGCCAATTTCCTGTTGTGAGATTGTACTCAAGAGATGCAAGATGTCACCACTGGGGGAGACTGGATGAAGGGTACGCAGATGTTATTTACCACAATTACTTGTAAATCTACAATTATCTCAAAATAAAAGTTAAAAAAAAAAGGATGATGAAGGGCCATGCAGTTTCTGTCATGCAGCACTAAATCCCCAACTTTAGAACTTGATGTTAGCACTGGGCCAGACCTCAGGCAGCCAGAGCCCCACCGCATAGCCCGACCCGAGAGGAAGGAAGACCACTGTGACTGGCACAGGGTAGAGCCACAGGAACGGAGTACACCCACGTCATGGTGTCAGTGGCTCCCAACCTTCTTGTAACAAAGAAAGGAAGACCTAGCACTGAGCTAGCAAGGATATCCTGAAGATTTTTTTTTTTTTTTGAGACAGAGTCTCTCGCTCTGTTGCCCAGGCTGCAGTGCAGTGGCACAATCTTGGCTCACTACAATCTCCACCTCCTGGGTTCAAGCGATTCTCCTGCCTCAGCCTCCCGAGTAAGTGGGATTACTTTTATTATTATTTGTATTTTTAGTTCAGACGGAGTTTCACCATGTTGGCCAGGCTGGTTGTGAACTCTTGACCTCAAGGGATCTGCCCACCTTGGCCTCCCAAAGTGCTGGGATTACAGGCGTGAGCCACCACACCTGGCTGAACATGATCTTATTCAGCCTTTGCGATGAGTTGGCCGGGGCACTGTTATTGTCCCACTTTACAGATGGAATGGCTGGGGCTGGGGGTCAGAGGGTCAGTTGCCCAGGGTTACAGAGCTAGGGAAGGTGGAGTCTCCTCTCACTGCCAAGGCAAGAGGTCCCTTTGAGACACTTCTTTTCATCCACAGATGTTCCCTGATCTGAAATAGTTCACCTCTCTAGCAAACTGCACTTAACACAAATTCACTTGCTTTCCCAATTAAAAAATCAGCAGAAGTTCTCAACACCCGCCACTCAGGTCTTTCTCTTGGTCAGGCATGGCCAGGGTCCTGATCAAAATGGTACAGCTCCAGCCAAAAGGGAAGGAAACTGACAGCTTGGTTAGGTCACCAGGCATGGGTGGTGATGGTGACAGGTAATTCCTGTTTTAATTTGCACTGAATCAGGAAGAATTTGAAGACACCCCCTTAGCTCCCTGCTGTTCCTTTTATAAAGGCCCTCAGGCTGGGAACTACTGGCCTGGACTCTACTTATTAAGACAGAAAATGGGCCTGACACTGGAGCAGGTCCTGGGAGAGGTTCTTAGGCTCTTTCCCGGCCAGCCCGCCTGCTCCTCCCTCAGGGATAGGATGGCTGAGGTCTAACCCTGCAAACGTGGGGTGAGTTGGGGGTAACACAGCAAGTCATCAGGCCCAGACCCCCACTCAGGCAGTCTACCTTGAGGATCCAGCGATTGTACAGGTGATGGTCTCTACTTATAAAGCCCGGATTGAGCCGTGGGAAAACCATCTAGTCAGCAGACAGGTTGTGTGGTCAGAAAGGCCGGAAGGTGATTTGAAAAACCACAAGGCTTTTTGAAACTTGGAGGCAAAGCCACTTAACCAAGCCCAGAGAAAGGCAATTAGGTGATCAGTGTGCAGACTCATTCTCCAAGGAGGGCCGCTCACCAGTGGAAGGCCCACCAGCATCCACGTCACCCGCGGCCACGGGACGGGCTCCCGGCCTGGCTGCCGACAACCTCCCGAGAGAGCCTAACCCTAACCCAGGGGCCATGAGAGAGAATGGCAATTGGAGTCTTAAGCCACGATTTAAACATTTTTTTTGGAGACAGTCTCGCTCTGTCGCCCAGGCTGGAGTGCTGTGGTGCCACCTTGTCTCACTGCAACCTCTGCCTCCCGGGTTCAAACAATTCCCTTGCCTCAGCGTCCCAAGTAGCTGGGACCACAGGTGCCCACCTCCACACCCTGCTAATTTTTGTATTTTTAGTAGAGACAAGGTTTCACCATGTTGGTTAGGCTGGTCTCGAACTCCTGACCTCAAGTGATCCACCTGCCTCGACCTCCCAAAGTGCTAGGATTACAGGCACGAGCCACTGTGCTTGGCCATTAAGCCACTAAACTTTGTGTGTGTGTGTGTGTGTGTGTGTGTGTGTGTGTGTGTGTGTGTGGCAGGGGAGGGGTGATGTTCCCGATGACTGGGACACTGGGAACATAGGGAAGGTATCCATGAAGAGGGCTGGGGGTTTGGGAGGAGATCCCCTCTTCCATGACCTCTGGGCCTCAGGACTTCTAGTCTGTTGAGGAGAGGGCATCCGCTTTGGATTATCAGCTCCACACACCCACCAAGAAGCAAGCAGAAGGATTTTTCTCAGCAGCTAAAACTCAGCACGAGACCCTTTCTTTGACTGCAGAGCAATCTCACCAGCTTTATGTGGCTGGCACAGAGCAGCTGTGTCTGTGGGGCTTGGCCTGGCCAGCCCCCTTCCTTGCTCCTGCTCACAGCTCAGGGCCGCAGAGGTACGGAGCAGGCGCCCGGCCAGCCCTGACCACAAGCTGCAGCCCCGCTCTGCACTGCCGCTCCCACTACCTTTTCATTCCCACGACAACCTCTTGGGGTGGGGGCTGTCCTCCCATTCACAGTTGAAGAAACTGAGTCTCAGGGAGCAAAGTGACTTGATCAGGGTCACTCAGCTGGCAGGTGGCAGAGCTGAGCTTTGAGCTCAGTTCTGCTGATCCCAGAGCCTTCCCTCTTTTTGGGGTGCCAGCTGTCCTCAGTCTCCAGTCTGGGTCACGTGCCAGCCCCACTGTCCGGCATCCACAGTGGTAAGCATGGAGACCTGGACATCTTTCAGAGACACCCACCTGTGCAAGAGGCGGCAGCCCCACGACCCAGGTCCCTGGGGGCTTCCACTGCTGCTATGGGTGGGGAAGGGGCCTCTTGGCCTTTCTGTGATGAGCTGCAGGGAGCCAGGACCCAGAAGCAGCGCCAGTTATGCCTAATTATTAAGTCAAACAAACCATATGGGCAGTGAGGGAGGTCATGCCTGGTTCTTACCCGGGGGCCAAAGTCTCCTGGTGCACCCTAGGAACAAAAGACATGGAGAGGTGTCACCACTGCTTTCATCACTTCCTCCCTTTTCCCGTCGAGCATCTGTGCCCAGTGCTTCACAGACACGGTATGAGTTAATTCTAACAAAAATAGCAGGCAGGCTCTATTTTTATTTCCATTTCCAATGAGGAAGCAAACACAGTGAGGCCACTTCACCTGCTCAAGGTCACACAGCTAGCGGATCCGGGGCTTGAAGGCAGGTGTTCCCTTATCTCAGGGCAGCCCCAGCCATTCGAGGCCCCGGATATTGTGGAGCAGAGATGGCCCCTCCCACTGTGTCCTCTGGAAGGGATGCTAATGAGTAAATGCTGCTTTACACCACCAAGTCTTGGGGCAGTGCATTTAGCAGCAATAGACACCAAGACACCAGTTCTCTCTGGTTTCACAGCCCCTGATGGAATCACTTCTATGACGTGGTGGCATCAGCCAAGGCCAGTGGGAAGGTAATCAGGCCACCCGCCAACTGCACTAGTCTCTCATCACTGGCAAGAACATTGAGACCATGACCTCATGCAATCTCTCCTGTGACTCGGTGAGATTGGTCTTCATTTACAGATGGGGAAACTGAGGCCCACAGAGCCCGGCAACTTGGCCAAAGCCACACAGTTGGTGGTGGAGCTGGAATGCAAAGCCGAGGTTCTGAACACCAGCTCTCATGCCTCCCCACGGCTCCCTCAGCCCTGGTGGTTGGGTGGGAGCCCTGCCTGCCCTGGCCTGAGCCGCCGAATCACACACAGCAGGGCCCATCTGCAGCTCTCACCTCCCATTTCCAAATTCCGTGTCGGGGGTGGACGTGGCCCAGCTGTGGGAGCACCCAGCTGGCCCTGGCACATCTAGGCCTGCTCTGACCCCTCCCCTGATTTTACCGTGGGTAACACAGATCTCTTCTGTCCCCTTCTGAAGCACTTGGTCCCTGGTTTCTAGGGGACTTTAGTGCCTGATGCCAGGGAAGCCTTCCTCCCAAGGGGCCGCAGATAGCTCTCCGCCATGTCTTCCTGAGAGGTGCTCTCCCCACAGAGAATGCCATTAACAGTCATGGTTCAATCCCCCAGCCCTCCTGGCACCCCCATTCACCATGAAGTCCTCTGGACACTCGTCATTCTGGGAACACTGGGCCTCCAAGTTTGGTTAACTCAGACTTAACTCTCCGTACTGTCAAGTGTAAGCCTTGTAACCCTTTTAGAAGGTAGGCACTGTGATTCCCACTCTATAGATGGGGAAACTGAGGCTCTAGGAGGGGCTGTGAGGTGCTCGAGGGCACACTGGAACTGGGGTTCGGAGGGAGGTTTCTGGGATTCTTCGCCTGCCTACCACATCTGCACAGCCTCTGGTTTCACTTACCTTTTCCCCTTTCGGGCCTGGAAGTCCCTGGAGAAGGAAAGTGGAGAAAGAACAGGCCTGAGTGAGGGGACTAGGATGGCTCCCCTTCTGGCTTCCCTGTACCTCTGAGGGCAGAAGGGCCCGTGATGCTGAGCAGAACTTTGGGCGGCTGAGTGGAAAATTACACATGAGCTGTCAGCATCAGTGAGAGTGGCCCTGGCTGGCCCAAGGAAGCTCCACACCTCGGTCCTCAGCACGAGGGATATGGGAGACTTGGGGGTGACCAGCAAGGGCCCACTGGCATCCTTGCAGCAGAGAAAGGGGCGTATGCACTGGCCACTCCTCCCAGAGAGTGCACACGGTCCCCCACTGCTCAGCTCCCACCCTGTCGTTGTCAGTGGGAGACCACTGCCCCCAAGCCATCTTTCTGGAATCTGAGCAGGCAGTAGAGAGATTCTCTCTCCAGAGGCATTCTCTTCTTCTTTTTTCTTTCTTATTTCTTCAAAAAAAAAAAAAAAGCATTCTCTTCTTTAATGGTAGCAGCTCCTTGGAGTATGGGCTCCATCTGTCCATCCCTGTATGAGTCATCCATCCATCCATCCATCCATCCATCCATCCATCCATCCACCCACCCATCCACCCACCCACCCACCCACCCATCCACCCATTCATCCACTATCCATCCAACCACCCACCAATCCATCCATCCATCCATCCACCCACCCATCCATCCACCCATCCACCCACCCATCCATCCACCCATCCATCCATCCATCCATCCATCCATCCATCCATCCATCCACCCATCGATCCATCCACCCATCCACCCATCCACCCATCCATCCATCCATCCATCCATCCATCCATCCATCCATCCATCCACCCACCCACCCATCCACCCATCCACCCATCCATCCATCCACTCACCAATCCATCCATCCATCTATCCAGTCATCATCCATCCATCCATGCATCTATCTATACATCTCCCCACTCGCCCATCCATCCATCCACCTCAAAGTACTTATTTATTGTGCTCATGTCTCTCTGCATGCTTCTGCTGGGGACCGCCCGTGACCACAGGCTCCTGGCCCAGATGTTGAGAACTCAGCTTGATGCCCACCAGGGCAGTCTTGAGACTGTATCGAGGACACTGTGCCTGTGTCTGCTGGGAGGGGCTCGCGTGCTTTGAGGGCTGACTAGACCCCAGGGACTGTGCTGCCCACAGTTCTCCATAGGTCTGCAGCATCCCTAGAAGAGGGCGGTACGTGTGCCCACTTGACAGACAAGAAGCCTCAGGCTTGGGAGGTGAGGAGGCCTCCCCTGGTCACCGTCAGCAGGTAGTGGAGCTAGATTTGAACTCAAGTCTGACACCCAAAAGGCTTCTCTCTCTGCTGAACCAAGTTCCAGTGGCTGCTTCCCTCCAGTGCCTGGTGGTCACTCCCAGCCCCACGGTGGTAGCCCCAGCCCAGGACACCCTGGAATTGCCCTGTCATCACTTACGGGCTTGCCATCCAAACCCAGGGGTCCCTGGAAAACGAGAGAGAGAGAACACAAGTTACACACGGGGATGGCACTTCCTCCACGTCTTATGACCCAGGTGCATTATTCAGCGACAAGAAAACAAAGCCTATGGGAGCCCCAGGTCTGGGTTCAGTCCATGCGGCCTGGGGCTGAGGGAGGGGAAGGCATCTGTGTGTGGTCTGCTGCCCGGAATCCCTCCTCTGACAAGAGAGCCCAGTTCTTCTCTAAAGACCACCCCCCATCTCAACCCATGGGGTCTGGGTGGGCTGCTGGGGTGGGCACGTGACCACATTCCCTCCGCCAGGGTGACGGGGTCAGCGATGAGCCTGGGATCCAAGGCGAGCCATGAGCATCCTGCCTGGGACTTAATGGTGGGGCTTTAGGGGAAAAGGGCTCTTTTCTTCTGATGGGGCTAAGCCTGGAACTCCCAGGGACCACCACACGGCTTGAGAATAAGCCAACAGGGAGGAGAGCAGAGCCGAGAGACAGAGAGAAAGACAGGGTCGAGGGCCTGAAGCTGAAACTGCCCCTGCACACACCAGTTTGAGAGCTAATCAATACTTTTGTTTTGCCTTCATTAATTCAGCTTGAATTGAGTTCCTATCATTTGTGACTGGCAGAGTCTTGAAGGCTCTTTGAACTTCCCACATTGCTTCAGCCTTTGCAGACAAAATAAAGCCAGAGAAAAGCCAAATCACACCAGGGTGGGTCCAGAGAGTAGGGGCACTCAGGGACCTCCAGGCCCCCTGCAGAGTCTGCAGAGGACCAGCTGCACAGCAGCCCGCGCCGGACACCCCTGCCCCTGTCCATCTACCACCCACTCAACAAAGCCTCACCTAGCTCCCTTTTGTGTGGGAGTGGGGAGGAATCCAGCTGGCAGGGACTCTGGGACCAGGGATGCCTGGTCTCTGTCAGCCCCCTCTTCCTCCTCACCACGGTCCCCTCACCCCCACATACACTTCACTGTTGGCTGCAGCAACGACGCACACAGCTCCACACTTCTGAACCTTTGCACACACTGCCATCCTTCCCTTCTTTGTCCATCTTCAGCTCAGTTACCTCCTCTTCCAGGAAGGCTTCTAGGGTTTTCTCCTTCCCAGAGTCAGGCCATCTGTCCCTGTTCCCACCACATATATTCTGTCACATGTGACATAACCTATTGTTAATGTGGGGTCTACAAAACTCTTCCTCTGTAGAGTCAGGAAAAGGGTCTAATCCCTGTGCCTCTGTTATTGGATGGGGCCTGGCAGGCAGCATGTGCCCGGGAAAACGTGCGCGAAGTCAAACCAAGGAAGTACAGCAAGAATGATAATGCCGCAAATGCGGGCACTGCGTAGTAGAAAGGGAAGGAGGAGAGGTGGAGGCTCTGCCAACCCCTAGCCGGGAAGACACATTGTGGGGACAGTAACGTTGGGGTATTTGGACCTAACAAGTGTGTGTGTGAGGGTGGGGGAGGGCACCGTAGGCAAAAGAGAGCAGCCTGGCCAAAGCGGGATGGGGGACCCTGTAGGCGGCGGAGGGGCAGAGGGGCTCTCGTTGGCCCCTGATCTGTGGTCCCTGCTCAGTTTGTCCCTGCCTCTCTGGACTTCCACTGGCTGAGGACGGACTCCTGGGCCCAGCCTCAGGGTCCTCTGTGGCTAGGGCCAGCTTCAGCCATCTGGTCACTCTGTGCCCCTGTCCGTCCCCAAGCTCTCTGGCTTCCTTTCCGTCTTCATCCCTCAGCTCTCTGTTCCCTTTGCCTGGAGTGCCTTCCTCGCGTCTGCACCTGGCAGCAGGCAGCTCATCCCCCGGGACAGCCTCCTGCTCTGGGAAGACTTTCCTGGTCTCTGGTTCTGGACACAGCTGGGAGCTGGCCCCGTGCCTGCCAGGTAGGAGGTAAGCTGCTAGCTTCCCTGGCTCAACCTCCAGACGGCCTCGTGTGGAGATGGCCCATCTGCCCATTCCCAGATGGTGTGAGAGTGGCCACTCCATGTGGGGCTCGCGGCCAGGGCCTTGCTGGCAGTAGGAAACCAGGCAGTTCTTAAAAATTGGTGTCTAAGTGCTTCTGGCCACCAGTCTCATAGTCACCGAGGGTTTGGCCATCAAAGTGATGGCCTGGGGACAGCTGGGGTCCCAGGGGAGAGGGAGTGGGGGCATTCCAAAGTCTTGGGGGCTCAGGCCCTGGGGGCCCCAGGTCAGGGCCTCAGCCCCCATCACAGGCATAGTTCTACTCCTTGCCATGAGCCTCCCAGGAGCTGCCCTAGCTGGACAGTGTCCTCTTGCCAGTTTCCAGCTGTCCTGATCCTGGGGTCCACACCCCCAGGCCTTCTGCCCTCGGTTGTACACTAAATTGGGCCCTGCCCCTTGTCCCCCTATCCCCTGACCCAGGTCCTGCCGGGTGTCCTCAGGGTCACGTCCCACTACGCATCCCCAGCCTGGACTTCTCCCCTGGGCCCGACCCCACACGCGTGGGCGCCAGTCCCTCCTGGGTCTCTTCAAGGAGCTCTCCATGGCCCCCACTCAGTCTCAATCACACAGCAACCCGGTAAGGTAGGTGTCCTCATCCCCCTCTTACAGAGAAGGAAACTGAGGCCCAGTGAGGGGAAGACCTTGCCTAGGGCCATGCAGCTAGAAAGGGTCTGGGCCCTGGGTCTCCATCCTGTCTGCACTGCAGGCCCCTGCCATGGTCCTGTCTGGCCTCCCGGCCACTCTCTCCTGCTCCAGGCCTTGCATACCTCTGTGAAATCCTCCCTGCTCCCACGGTCCCCTGGATGTGAAGCATGCACAACCACAGGGCTCTGCCTTTCTAGAAGTGCCCGTGGAAGGGAGCCCAGGCTGTCCCCTTGGCCTCAACCCCAGAGGGAGCATCTCAGTGCTGCCAGCTGTTTCTGGAAGTGTCCACCGACTGGACCTTATTATGGCTGCAGGCCTCCTGCCTCCTGAGCTGGACGCTGCCCTCTGCCAACCTAGGACTGTTCCTGGGGGTCACTGATGGTGCAGCCTTGGTCCCCAAGGCTTCTTTCTGATGTGTGAGAAGCCCTGTCTGTGACAGAAAACCAATTTTCACATCAAAGGCCCCGCCTGTATGTGTGATCACAGAGCCCTGGGAGTTTCTATGGGTGAATTCAGTTTCTAGCTTCCCAATAGAGGCAGAGCCATGGGTGTTCGCAGTGCTCTTGGGAGCCCCCACCGCGGACTGAAGGGAAGCCAATTCCAATTCCCGGAAGCCGAGCCAGTGCCTGCAGCGGCACCAAAGCTCCCTGTGGGAGAACTGACAGAGCAGACCGGGCTGGGCCAGCCCCTGGGACAGAGCCGACCCACAGCCAGGATGACACCGGGGCAACAAAGCCGTCCCCAGGCCCCGAGCTCTCTGTGAGGGGCAGTGGCTGACCTCGGAGAAGCTGCTGGGTGGGTGTAGTCACTGAAGAAGGGACTCTGAGGTGGGCAGGGAAGGAGCAGCCTGGCTTTGGAGTCAGATGCACCTGCTTGGCTTGGGGATGTGATTCTGACCTCCCCTCCCGTCCTGGGGAAGTTGGGCCTGCCCTCTGGGTCGGGGGACCCTGGGCTGTGAACCTCCAGGGGATGGACCCTGTCCACAGTTACCCTACAGAATGCCTTTCCCAAACTGGTGCCCCACAGCACACTGCCCTGCAGGCTTGCCTGGAGACAGGGATTCCATGGCTGAGTAAGTTTGAGAAACACTGGGTTAAACTCTGCGGAACAGGTTTCTTTCCTGAAGGGCTGTCGGAGCCATCATTTTCCTTTGCCGGTCTTTAAAAGGACAGTGCTCCTTCCACCCCCGAAATGGGCTCAGTGGACTCAGCCTTAATGGACTCAGTGCCTGGCTGAGCCATAGCAAAGCAACTGAGGCGTGAGGCTGTGCAGACCATCCACAAACCAGGTGTTTCTACCGGTGGAGCAGGGGCCGAGCCCGGCTCTGGGTGCTCTAGAGAGGAGGACAAGCGCCTCAGGGAAGGGCCTGGGCTGGTCTGAATGGAGCCATGGAATGCGTGGGGTGGGGAGCGTGGTCAGGCTGGACAAAGGCATGGCAGGGCAAGTGTCCAAGTATCCAAGCCCAAGGCAGGTCCTTCTGAGCAGAATGAGGGCTATTCTGAGCAGCTGGGCAGTCTGGAAGGGCAGAGCCCCAGACTGGGCAGGGGCATGCTTTGGGTGGTGGTGGTGGTGGGGGTCTCTCCTATCCAGGCAGCCCTCCCCTGCCCCAGACAATAGGGCACCGGCCATCAGCTGCCCCGTTCCTCTCCCAGCAGCTCCTACAGAAGGAGTGGGAAAGAAAGTAGCTTGGGGAGGTTTACCAGCAGCTCACAGAGCAAAGGCCAGGGCTCAGCCTTGCAGGGCCCGGTTCAAATCCCTCTTCCGAGCCTCAGGCTCCTCATCTATGGATGTCACCGCACTGTGCCTGGAGATGCTCATGACGGTCCAGCTCACTCCCCTGCCTGATCAAAGCCCTTGAATCCACCAGAGGTTTTCAACGCCTTCTGCCCTCTTAGAAACCCCACAGCTGTTCACAAGCCTTGGTTCTGCTTTAAATCACTCTTTCCCCGTGGAGATCAGCTGGGCTCCGGGATGTTTCTGGATGTGTGAGAAACAAACAAAGCTCTGGGCTGCACGTGAGCAGGAGGCCAGGTGGCCAGCTGGCCTGGGACCCCGGGTGGGCAGCCCTCCCCCAGCCCTGGTGCTGCCTCAGTCCCTTGCCTTGCTCAGGGACCGGAGTGTCCCCGAGCCTCGGTTTCCTCATTTGTGAAATGCAGGTCATGCCATTCTCCTCTCAAACAACAAGTTCAAGTTGGGTCCCAGGTCAGTGGCCTCTGTTTCCCAGACCAATGCAAGACACAAGGCCCCACAGGCAAGCAGACACTGGATTAGGGTTTGCCCTGGCCCTGGGGGGCAGTGCTGGGAGCGACCCGTGTGTGGCCTTCCAAGAGGCCGGCAGCAGGACCCTGGACGGTGCCGCCGGCTCTGCCATCTGTGAATTTGAGGCTTTGCTCTCTCCCTCCCTCGGCCTGTTG